TCATTTTCTCATTCGCCTCGACTTGGGCTGGTGGTGTCTACACTATCGTGTCAGAAATTTACCCATTGAGAATTAGATCAAAGGCAATGGCTGTAGCTACTGCTGCAAATTGGATCTGGGGTTTCTTGATTTCATTTTTCACACCTATGATCACTGGTGCAATACATTTCTATTATGGTTTCGTTTTCACAGGTTGTTTAATTTTCTCGTTTTTTTATGTTTACTTCTTTGTTTATGAAACTAAAGGGTTATCATTGGAAGAAGTTGATGAATTGTATTCTCTGAGAATACCAGCATGGAAATCTTCTGACTGGGTTCCACCATCTACGGATAATATGGCACATCATACCGGGTTCGCATCCGAAGCGAAACCTTCTGATGAACAAGTATAAACTCAAATACTTCAAATTTTTAATGGTCATAACAAGGCGTTGCATTTAAGTTGTTTTCGAAGTACGTTAAATCTACAATTTAAAATGCAATGTAAATATATATATCATAATATCAAATCAATTTCAAATAGTAAAACAATTATTAATTTAACTATGTGGGATTCCAAAAATATTTTCGTTTCTCAATTTAGCATTTATCTTCGATCACACCCCTGTAAATTATATCTCGCTTTTATATATAAAAAATAGATTAAAAAAGATTAGGATCCTTAATATCTATATCACCTTGAATGATATTGTAACTCTTTCTAAAAGTCTTGGTATTATTCAAGGTTTGTACAATAACACGAGCGACATCAACTCTATCGATAGAAGAGTCTAAACCTTCGTTTGAGCCTATTATTTTAATTTTTCCGGCGCCTTTATTATTGGTCAATGCAGAGGGCTTCAATATGGTAAAGTCCAAATCATTTTGAAATTCATTCATCAAAATCCTATCAGCAAAGTGCTTGGCAATGTAATAGTTATGAAGAGGTGATTTTGAGAAATATTCTCTATCATCAGCATGAATGGCACTTATAAGCACTAACCTACGTACTTTAGCAATACGTGTAGCTTCAAATGTCTTAACCGCACCATCTAAATCAACTTGTAAAAGATTTTTACCACCAGATCCTGCTGTAAAAACTACAGCATCATGTCCCTCAATTAGAGTGGCAATGTCTTTTACGGAGGCTTTATCAAGCGCCAAATTCACAGAGGTTATTTGACTGGATATGGCAGACATGGTTTTTTCTTGTTCTGCCGATCTAACAACAGCTGTTGGCTTCAAGTTGGAACTTACAAGCTCTTTGAGAAGAAGCTTTCCTATTTGACCAGTTGCACCAAAGACAATAACGTTCTTTACTAAGGATGACATATTATACGATTAAGCTTTCAAATTAATAAGTAATTGAGAAGAGATAACTTAAATTTGTTGATTAGTAGCAAGATTAAGAAAATGTTAGAAAAGATAAGAACGATTAGAAATCAAGGAGAACTAATCAGTGTATAGTGTATGCAGGATTTAAGTAGGCATTTCTTTACTCTTGAACGGAATTTCACTATGAGAAACTTCATTGCAGTGATGGAGCAACTTTAAAGGTTATACATATAAATTTCATTACGAAATACTTCTTAATGCAAAAGCAAAAATTACGTACTAGAAAGGAATATATATGTGTTATGTCTATATATAAAACAATTGAATGTCATTCCATCTGATATATAGCTTATGGACTACTTAGCTATCTCAATTTTATCTATTGAATATGATTTTCTACTTTCATTATCATCAAGTATATCTTCCTTTTCTTGTTGCGACCTAACAACCCTAATTTCAGGTCCTACAAATGTGATCAAGAGCACATATCCGAAAACACATCCCATGAATATGGCCATGACCTTACCATAATTAAAAACATCTTCTCCTTTTTCTGGTAAAGGAAATCTTTCGCCAATGGTAGACTCTATTGTAGAGGAAGCGGATGACGCAAGGTTACCTAACTGATAAGCAATACCAACGATAAATGATCTATATTCGTAGGCAGGGGTACTAAGTTCACTTAAATGGATCGGAATCACTCCGAAAGCACCTTGAACTCCGAATTGCAAGAAAAAAACCGCAGCATTTACACCTCCATTTGTAACGAATGCCCAAGGATAAATTAAGGCACCTCCTAAAATACAACAAATAATAATAGAAAGTCTTCTGCCAAGAAAGTTTGAAAAATGACCCATTACAATACCGCCTAATATTGCCCCTAAATTAGCAACACAGTTTGTGACAGTAGATTTATCGTCACTAAATCCTAATTGTTTCTTTAAAAAGGTAGGGTATAAATCTTGGGAACCGTGAGACATAAAATTGAATCCAGCCATGAGTAAAACCATGTAGGCTAACATTAGCCAATAATATTTTAATACTTTAGCAGCTTTTTTCTCGAATGATTGAGTATTCACACCTGAAGACTCTTTTATTGTTTCTTCTAATTTTTTCTTCTGGTACGCATCCGTTTGAGGCAAGACAACTCTGGCCGTAATAATTAAGACAGATACACCTGCGGCAAACCAAAACTGAGCTCTCCATGATTTTGAAGTTGTATCAGCAATTGCTCTAGTAAAAATAACCGCTAATAAATACCCTAAAGCATAGCCTTGTTGTAATACCCCAGAAATAAATCCTTTTGCTTGTATTGGACAATCATCTAATGCTGTAGCAGTTGCATTGCCGTATATTCCTCCCATAACAATACCAAATAATGCCCTAACTCCTAAAAACTGCTTAAAGGTACTTATGAATCCAGTACCAACTTGTAACATACACATTAAAATCAAATTGACAACAAATGGCCATTTTGAACCGTATTTGTCACCTAGATATCCAAAAATGAAGGCCCCCACTGTTCTCAACATTAAAACTAAAGTAATCCCCCAGGTAATCAGACTCACGTCGGTATTCAAATCTTGGGATAGTTTGTCTACGTTAAGCGAAACCGTAAAGAAATCAAAACTATCCCATGTCCATGCGGCTAATCCTGAAAGAATGAATAACCACTGTTTACCAGAAATATCTTTGATAGCGGGAAACGGATTCAATAAATCTCTGTTGGCAAGCATATATTCCTTGGTTGGTAACAATTCTGTGAATCTCGTTTTTAAATACTTGTTAATAGATCCTGTAGAGAAACTTGGGGCTCTCAAGGCAGCCTGTTCATCTTCAGTGTTTTTATGAATCTTCTGTTCGTGTTCGACATTATCAATGGAACGTTCCATATCTTCACTTGAAGGTCTACGTAACGAGTTAAATGAAGACTTTCTAGACATTTTATCACCGTATTTTCTATAATGAAAAGAAAGAGAAGTTGGAAGAATTATAACGTGAAAATTTTCAGTATTTTCTAACTACTGCAAAATTTTCTAGTCAGTTGTGAGTCGCATAAATTTTTCGAAGTGACACATTATTGACATCAGGTAAGATTCGACATGCATAATACCGAATTGCACTATTATATCACACATCACTTATATCACCATACTCTTGAAGGCTGACGTCCAATATTTCTATATTAAGGTGATATATGTCTACACTAAAGGAAATCTGATAAGATTCTAGACGAAAGTTATTGACATAGTTTCACGCCGTATGTAAATAAAAAGTGGGGCTCTCGAGGGGAAATGCGCAAAACCTTTTTCCTTTTTATTTTTTCCGTCGACATCTTGAGGAAATTCGGTATAATGAATAGTTAAAACTTGAACTAAGCGGGCAATCGTTATACTATATATTGTATTACACACAAATAAGAGGATCCCTGCAATCAATCATTAACTTATGACCTATCTCGTTTTATTAATGCTACTGAATAATTGACCTAAGAGAAACCTGACATAGTCATCTATTTACAACAGTTTTAGTTAGGTATATTGACACTCATCCGTTTTGTAGATAGAAGCTATAACTCAGGCTTACCAATTAGATTAGAAGAGTTAGTTAAAAATTTTTAAAGAGTGTTTGAAAAAAAGTTGCGAAATAAAGATGTGTACTTTTTATGAATGATTTGATCTAGTTTAAAGGCATTGTTTATTTAATTTTCGTATACTGTTGTTCTGTACTTGCATCTAAGCCCTATAGAATATATATTGTTTTTAAAATTAAGCAATCTAAAACCATAATATTCAGCGGTCAGTGATGGCGTCAATGACATTATACATAATTCCCTAAAATAAAAAATTGATAAATGAAAATTGGTCGTTGAGTTATATGAATCAAGGGGAAAAAGTCCTAAATTTATTTTGTCATATAATCCGTAGAAAATTAAAGTGTGCTTCAAATTAAACGGCAATCTATTCCAAGGACTTACTCGGAAACCCATGGCGATCTTTCAGAGTTATTGCACATATTGAAGAATAGACGGTGAGTATTAGTCTATATGAAGCGGCTACACTACATTTCCTCAAAGTCACTTGGTACTTAGGCGAAACGTCTTGGTCCATCTATTTTAATATTGGCCAAATCTTGAAAAAGCTTATTTATAATTGAACGCAAACCTCAAATTGTTTTCCCAGTATTCTAATTAATTATTTTACGTATAGCTACTTAACTATATGAAGGAAGTAAGGATTATTTTTTGACAACCTGAGCCAGAGGTCAAATATTTAGTGATTTCGAGCTATTAATGTCAGCTGATAGATGTGAATGCTTCATTTCTATCCGAACCAGCTGGGATCTTTCTTTAAGGAGTTGGGGGAAGGAGAGTCATAAGTTTATTTCTGGAGATGAAATTGGCTGAGATAACATTTTGCTAGCTACGTTTCTATATATGGCATTGTTAAGATGTTTTTAAAATAATTAGTGTGAGGGCAGATCCTGATATATTTATAAGGTGGTGGAAAGATATGAATATGTTGATCAAATAACTAAGATCTATAATATGATTAGTAGTTTGCTACTACAATGGTAACTTGAAATCATAATCTAAAAAGTCTATATGCAGATTTATCTTTGATGAACAAACTAGTCGATGTTTATACCTGGAGATTGCTTACGTTTTCTTCAATATTTAAATATACTTATTCGAAGTGCTCCGTCAGAACATTCTCCTTTTCGGAGCTATCAATATCAATGGTTTGTTTTTCACGTTCAACCCGCTTATCAACTTGCTCAATCTTTATTCTCTTAAAATCCGCTTCTGATTTCGATGCTAACCAACTATCATTTGCAAATAAATAATCGATATCTTCCAAAGTTCTGTTAGCGGTTTCTGGACAGAATAAGTATACCAAAACAAGTGAAATAAAATTACATGCCCCAAATATATATAATGTCTTTTCACCAATCTTACTAAACATAATGGGACATAAAAGCGTTAACCAACCATTCCCAATAGACCAACCAACTACACCAAATGCATTGCCTTGGGCTCTAACTTTTAATGGGAATATCTCAGTAGGATAAAGCCATGGAACGGCTAGCCATGTTGCTCCAAAAATAGAGGTATAAATAAACACAAAACTTGCGGCTGCAGCACCATAAGATGAATTTTTTGGATTGTTTTGTTGAAGTTTGGAAAATCCGCCCGCCAAAAACATCGATATTCCTTGACCAATAGCTCCCCAAAATAATGTGAATCTTCTACCAAATCTATCCACGGTGAAGAAATTGATCAATGTAGATAAACAGTAGAATATGTTGTTAACTCCACTTAGCCATGCCGATTTTCGAGTCCCAAATCCAGCTTGCTTGAATATCTCTGGTTGATATACAGTAACACCAGCAATCCCAACCCATTCTTGGAAAATTTGCATCCATATAACTATTTGTACACGTCTTGCAATATGGAGTGTTTTAGCTTTCGCAGATTTCTTGCTATCTTTATCAGGGAAATAACCGAGAAACATGCGCCAATAGCTTGAAGATAAAGCAGACTCTTGTTCAAATCTCATTGCATCTACAATTTCCTCAAACTCTTGATTTCCTCTTTCTACGCCTCTCATATTAAGAAGAATTCTTTTCGCATGATCCTCTTCGCCATTTTTAACAAGCCATCTTGGTGACTCAGGAAAGAACCAAACAATGCCAAGTAATACAAGCAAGGGAATGATTTGAAATGCAATTGGAAACCTCCACTGGAATGCAGAAAACCCGCCGTCAATATAACTTAAGCCGTATTCCAACCAGTATGCAACACAAACACCAAAAATGTTCAAAGTAAATTCTATTGCTATAAATGCACCTCGAGATGTATGCTCCGCAGTTTCAGAAGAATAGACTGGAACTACAGCATTAAGTATACCAGTACCGATACCATTAACAAATCTGGCACCACACATCCATGACATTTGCTGTGCAGCACTTTGCAATGCTGCCCCAAATATAGCAATTAATGCACCAAGTGCAATGGCTTTAATTCTACCTTGACGGTCTGAGAATAAACCTCCAAAAATGCATCCAACGAGCGTGCCGAAATAATAAATTGCCACGATACCACCTTGTCGCGTTGAATTAGTAACAGTCACATCTCCATTTTCATTGAAATACCCGTACTTCATCTTTCCTACATAATCGGGGGATGTGTTAACACCTGCCATCATACCTTGGTCATAACCAAAAAAAAAGATAGCAAGTGCTGCCAACGCGACCACGCAATGTGTCAACTTCTTTCCCTTTACTTTATTCTCGAGCAAATATTTCTCTGGTATTGTAAATTTCATTATGGACTCCCTATAATTAAAAATACTCTTTATTTTGTTTTTCAGAGAATTAGATTACCTTATATGCTTTGATTTAGTTTTCCTGTATTGCTGATTTATCTGTAAATAAGGTTTAACTAGTATGTGTGCAGTTAATATTTTTGTTCTGCTTGTAGTTATCTGCCCCACCCTCCCCACATTGTATACTGCATCTCCAGCTGCGTAATATATATAATTGGGTCAACTCACGTACATCAATCATTATTATTGAATAATAGAACAAAATATAACCAATCAGCTTTAGTTTTGTTGAAACTGCAAGCCGTACAAGCTTTTAACTCGGGTGCTTTCTGTTTTAGCCGACAATTCATCCGGCCGAATTTGATGTATGGGGGAATTATAGAAGCATACTTGCGTGAACTAAATATTCCTCAGTTAGATTGAAGCCGAAAAACTCTTTAATTTCGACTTATGCCGGCATGGTTGAAGCCTTAATTGTATATTCGCTGTTTAGTAAAATTCTTGAAATGTTGAATAATCACCATAATAATTGCATATTTCCGATTTTCTGCGAAAGTTATGCCATATTGCGGTTTACTTAGAACCACTTTTCAGGGAAAATAATCAAGTTTGGCAAGAGTGCATCGGTTTGTCTAAAAGGATTATATGATTTAGTTATATCTACTCTGCGTATATTTATAGCTCATCATACTGCCATGGCTATCGGTAAAATCTACGATATCTTTTATGAAGAATATGCTACCGTACTTGAACTGGTCAACTTTGTATTCTGATACGAAACTTTATCTGTATAGATTTGTTCTATGGGAAAAAATCCAAAGGAGAAGGGATTTATGTGAATATGAATATACCCATGAAATCGGCGCCAAAAACAAAACCGATAATTATTTCAATCAACAAGAATTTAGATTAAATCTTACAACATTTTAAAATTCTAATCGCTAATACTGCATATTATATTACTTATCTTATTCTTCCTTAAACCTATCGCGCTAACGTTATCTAATCAGCTGCAATTCATGTACGATGGACGATCCAACAACATATTATATATATCTACTAACAATTAAGATGAAACTCTCGTAGATATATTTAAATTTTATCACCAACTATGTCCAAAATTAGTCCGTTACTTTCAAGAGAAGAAATAATTGAACAGACTCGATCTAACAAGCTATTTTACAATAATACTCAAAATGTGGAAGTGCCAAAAATTAATGCTTTATTATCTAATTCAGATGAACAATTATTGGCAGAAATTGGATACAAACCGGAATTAAAAAGGCATTTTTCGTTGTTTCAAGTGTTTGGTATATCCTTCAGTATAATGGCCATCTTACCGCTGATTCTGAGTATTCTTGCGGAGGGTTTAAGTGGTGGACCTGCTGGTTGCTTTTGTGGTTGGGTTATTTCTTCAATATTTATTCTTACAATTGGAGTTTCCATGTCGGAGAATGGAAGTTCGCAGCCCACTTCAGGGGGTTTATATTACTGGGCTAATTTCTATGCTCCAGCGCGGGCAAAGACAGTTATATCTTACTTGATAGGGAACACTAATTCAATTGCATTAATTGGTGGTTTGTGTTCTGTCGATTACGGTTTTGCACAAGAATTATTGAGTGTTATTGTTATAGCAACGGATGGTGAATTCAGTATTACTGCTGCTAAGACCTATGGGGTATTTGTTGCTTGTGTTTTATCACACATCGTTCTTACTTGTGCTTCATCAAAAAACTGTGCCTGGCTACAGACGTCGCTGGTTGTTTTAAATACCACTATTGTGGTCATTTTTTTGGTTGCTCTACCGATCGGTGCTAAAGGAAATTTTAAAACTGCAAGTTATGTTTTCACAGAATTTAACAACTTTTCAGATTGGCCATCTGGCTGGACCCAGGTATCATCTACATGGTTGCTGGGTATATGGACCCTTGGTGCATTTGATTCTGTGATTCATATGTCAGAAGAAATTCCTCTGGCTTCAACTGCTATACGCATTGGAATAATAGGATCTTTGTCTGGTTGCATTATTTTGGGAATTGCCGTAATGCTTGTTACTTTATTTTGTATATAAACAAATGATATTGAGGGTCATATTATCGGTTCAAAATTTGCTCAACCGATGGCTCAGATCATTTACGATTGTTTGGGAAAAAAATGGGCAATATCGTTCATGATACTAATCGCAATGTGCCAATTTTTAATGGGTGCATCTATTTTAACGGCCATATCTCGTCAAATTTGGGCATTTTCTAGGGATAATGGATTACCGTTTTCTTCTTGGATTAAAAAAGTTAATGTGGAGTTATCAGTTCCAATTAGAGCTGTTTGTTTCGGAGGCGTTATGGCTATTTTGATAGGCCTATTATGCTTGATTGGACCTACGGCCGCGAATGCGTTATTTACCTTATATATTGCTGGTAATTATGTCGCTTTGGGTACTCCAACATTTTTGAGATTGACTTTTGGAAGAAATAAGTTTCAGCCAGGAAAATTTTACTTAGGGGATTTTTTTTCACCTCTTATAGGTTGGTCTTCAACAGTATTTATTCTATATACTGTCGTGATGGTGATGCTTCCTTCAACCAAGTATCCCGATAAAGAAACAATGAACTATACTTGTATCATTACCCCTAGTATTTGGATTTTTTCATTAGTTTATTATAAAACCTATGCACATAAGCATTACCATGTGCCACAGAAGACAGCGTTTGTTTCAGATTGTGCAAGTGAAAAAGGTATGGATCGGATTTATATAATCTTGGATGGAATTGATGTAGGTTCAGACAAGAAATCTAGAACATATGAAAAAGTTTGACTTTTGTATGTTTCTTTTGAGATGGCATTACTTGATTAGATTTATAGATTATTTATTGGTATCATTAGGATAATGATGAAATTTTTAATTATTCTGTAAAGACAAAATTTACACTGAAGTGTTCAGTATCAAATTTGTTACTTGGTCAAAATATAACTGCTAAAATTGGATACTTTACACACATTCATAAATTTTGCGATTTAAATTCTTGTCATATCAAAAATTTGGCACATTTTCATTTGAAGTCAAATGATAACTAAATTTTATATACCGCCTTTAGTAGGTCAAAATAAAACCAAATTCATAATTCTCTGGTGGCAACTTTTTCTTATTAGAAATGACTACAAACTTTTATCTAATTTTCTTCAATAGAAGATTTATTTACTAAAATTTTATTATCTATATTAATGTGTATCTAATATATAAATCTATATTTCGATAGAGATCAACACGAAATTCATATTTAAGCATCTGTTTCAACGCTCGAATAGCTATTATGTCTTGACTCTTTGTTTCTTTGACGGTCAGCAGCCAAGGTTTGTGCAAACTTACTTTTCGCCCGTATAGCAGGTCCTTTCCAATAGAACAAATAAATTGGTATGGCAACTATAATTGCTAGACAACCAAGAATAGTACTTGCCCATTGCAAATGAAGCTTTCCTCCAATGTTTGTATACATCGGAACAGCATACATCGTTGAAATACCCGCAAGAAAATCACGAGCAAATCCATTACCACCCGTTGCGGAAGCAGAATAAGGTCCATAGGATGCCACCATATAATCAATCGTTGACATATAAATCGAGAAATTCGCAATTGCGATAAGACAAGCAAATATTAACGGAGCTATCCAAGGATTATATTCAGGTCCCATAGAAGTCCAAGCAAATCCAAATAAACCAATAGCTTCTAAAGGAGCAAGGAAAAGAAGAAGTAGAAGTCGTCTCTCAGCTAAGCGAGCACCCTCTCCATCAACCGTAAGGACCCATCTTTGTCTGTGAAGATCTGGAAGATGTATACAGTAAGCTAAAATGTAACCAATAATGATAGATAAGAAGGCTACACCAGTACCGGTGGCTGTAAAATTCCATTGTTCAAAAACAAGTGTGAAAGATTGCAAGAAAACAAAAATCAAAGCGTCTGAAAATCCAGATAAAATTGAAAGACATAATACAATAGGCTCTAGGAGAAACATTTCAAAAGGACGGCGCCAAATAGTCAAAAGTTCCTTCATAGTCAACCGGTTCTCCTTAAGTTCGTTTGGCCCATAAATGCCTTCGTCTTCTCCTGATTTACGACGACGTTTTGCTTCTCTATCAACCAAAATAGAAGCCCTTGTTTCAGAAACTAAAAAGAAGTGGCATATCTGCGTAACACCACCAAATATTAATTGAATCCAAAAATTCCAACGCCATGAAAGATGATCTTCCATTAATCCACCGAAAACTGGCCCTATACTAGAGCCTCCAACCGATGACAACACAACAAATGCAACAGCAAATCCTTGATCATTAGCTTCCCACATATCGGCCGTCATTCCTAAAGTAACCGATCCACCAGCGGAAGAAAATCCACCTAAAAACCTTCCGACAATAATTGTACCAAAATTAGGCGCTAGCGCACAAGGTAATTGCCAAATATTAACCAAAAATAAACTTAGTTGCATTATAGGCCAACGACCAAATTCTTCACTCCATGGTGCCCATAATTCGCATCCAAAGGCATATGCAACCAAGAAAATCATCCCACCTACCCTAGCTGCTTGTTCACTCACACCAAAATCTTCTGAAATCAAAGAAACTGCGTTAGGGAACACACTCGTGTTGAAATTCATAGACATTTGGACAGCGAAAATAATAGATAAAATAGTCCATTTTTTATACCATGGATAACTATAGCCAAGTTTGTCGTAACATTCGTGTTCTTGTAACTCACGTTTACCGTTTTCTCTTAATATCCCTGGAAGTCTCGTTCTACGCTTCTTAGGAGTATCCAAAGTAATATTCTCCGTTCCTGGAGTCTCTATCTGTGCCTCTGTATTTTTTTTTTCCAAGTTATCTATCTCACTATCTGCTGAAGAAGGTGTTACATTCTTTTCTGTATCGTAGCCTGAATCCACCTTCACATTATCTATATTGGAATCATTCTGTAGTATTCCATTATCAAATCTCAGCATCTCCTTATATTTTTCTCTTTATGTCTGATTAAATTCTAAGTGATGAACCAGTCGCATTCTAGTTCTTTATATACCTTTTGTTTGCTATCCACTATCAGGGTTGCTTGCAGAAAATTAGATGCACATTTCCTAATACGTCTATCGGAATTGCTTGAATGTTTTATCCGAAATCATTTGATATCACTATATAGAGCGGTATCACCGGCGCTGACATAATGCAAATTGCTCGTCAGAATTTAGAAGATTTCAACATATGCCGGAAGAAGCAAAAGTAATGAGATTCTAACGCGCAATGACGCAAACTATTAAAGTTTAACTAACCATACTCCTCGTGAAAGAATTTATTTTGGCTTCGTTGCCGACTAAACACGGTGACAGCTTCTATTAAGCTTCGCATAGCCATAATATTTCTTTTCTTCTTAGGCCGATTGAGTAGTTATCCGCTTGCTTGTGCATATATTATATAATTCGGAAAATTTACGAACCTTAAACTATTCCGCATTCCATATGTCGATTGTTTCGAAACGATAAAACCGGGGTGAACCATCCGAAGCGGTGGAGTACTACATTTTGAACACAAAATAAAAATTAAGAACATAGTCGGTAAATAGTGTAGACGTAAAATTGCTGTATAAATTATATGCATATCTATTCCATAAAAGAGCTTACAAAGTTTTATGTAAACAATTATAAATAATTTTTAATAATAATAATGAGTTAAAAAAACAAGAAATACCTACATCGGTCATAAAAAATTTAATAAAAGGTGGGAATAAGTCAATATTAGAAAACTTAGTACGAGGATCAGTTAATTTAATTCTTTCCCAGAAACAAGATGTTTATTAAGCGTCTCTGATGTCTGGCACTCTATACTATTTTGATCGTTTTGGGTTTCGTTCTTAAGAGCCAAATTTTACTTTGCGCTATTTTAGGCTAAAAGCAACAGCTATGCTGACGGCATCTCAAATGCAAATATAAAACGGCTGTTACGCGCAGTAAATGCCGTGTACGAATTGGTATATGGAATAGTATAACATTTGCAACGAAATTTACGATGCTTATTATCGTTTTGATACAATTATTCTATATTTTATCTATGGCTTTTATGGTTCCTGTTGGTATTGTTACTTTATCTGTATTTTATGCTATTGATTATAACATTATTACTTAATTTTATGTGTCAAGATATGACATCTTTCCATATATACTTCGAAGCATCATTAGCTTGTCAGGACTTGCTTCATATGAAACGCCCCTTCTCCTTTCAAGGATTTATCAAAATATGAATGAAACTCTGGAATATCATGGACGTCAATTCCATTCCTTAATTTTTGTAATCGGTTCGTTAGTTCAGTTTCTGGTATATATTTCAACAATAACTGTTTTACCAAATTCATTTTCCTTTATTTCAGTTAAATGTTTTCTAGTTAAGGGAGTTTTTCAGTGCTTTTCATGTAAACAATGTCATTTAAACTTCAAACATAAGGCTCACACAGGGATTTGTCTTGAACATCTAATTCTTCTTTTACATTCGTTACATGAAAACTAATTAGAGTCTAAAAGGCATGCGAGATACAATGGACTTAGATTATGGTGATAAATCAGATCTTATTTTATTCGGCTACATTAGCAAACCAACAAGATACAGTATGACAATCAAGAAGAAACCAAGAAATGTTAAATACTAAAAGTCCACTTTTGAGAAGTATGGGGAACAATTGATTAATCCACTGATATAGAATTTCAGGAACGAGAACCTAAGAATTAATTAGGGGTGCAGTCGCCCGAGCTCAATCTTTTTTGGTAATGAAATTCTGAACACACCACATAGAATGCTGCTCTAGTTTTAACTATTTAAAAATCTATGACTGCTGGAATATGAAATGACCCTACTTTAAATTAATCTAGATAATTTTAATAGAGTCAATTATATTTTATTCCGGGTTTGCGATAGCAGGTTTAAACTAAGATCGCTCATATAAATGCTGCAGTTTAGTTTATGAAGAATTAAGTTACATTACTCATGCTTATTGTGGATATACTGCATTAATGGGATCTGCCTTCTAACAACAAATAATAAGCCTTCTGGTAGACAAAAGACTATAGTTTTCAGTTTTTCAATTTTACGAATGGCGACTATGAAAATAAGGAGAAAATCAATATTCAAATGTTAAAGCAATTGAGGAATAAAGGCTTTTGTTCCGATGCACTCGGATAGAAAAAAGAGTACGACGTCGGCAAAAATTCTTATGAATGAAAGCTCATACAATAAAAATAAAAAGACTATAAATAATAATTTTTACCCAGCATTCTAAATAAGACATACTTCAGCGAATTTTGAAGCATTATTAATTAAGGGCTTCATCTCGACTTGTACTATTTGCATCTAAATACGGACGCTCGCCAATTCCGACTGTTCTCACACCAGTACGTTCGAAAGCATCGTCGAAATAATCATTAGTAGCAGTATGGTATACAGATCTATTATCCCAAATTGCAACATCGTTCTTATTCCAGCGAAATCTTACTTGAATATCATGACTACCATATAATAATTCGCTGAGATAATCTTTAATAAGTGCACTTTCTGAATCAGAAAGTCCATTTATAGATGTAAAATGCTGCCCTATACTGAAAATAGACTTCCAACCAGTAACGGGGTTAGTACGCACAAGAGGATGGATTGCAGCTAATTCATCACCTACATTCTCTGGTGCACCTCTTACTCCAGAATAGATTTCAAACTTGCCTTCAGCAGCCTTTTTAAGTCCCGGTTGAGAATACACACCAGTCAATGTTTCAAGTAACTGCGAAACGTAAGTGTTAATTTTTCATAAAGGGCGTAGCCGCTTGCCCAAAGAGTATCACCGCCTGTAGGAGTCGATTCGACAATTTTAAGGACCGCATAATCTGACGTTACTGGTTCAAAAGTTATATCACTGTGCCAACCTTCACCGTTTCTCTTGCCACGCGTAAAATTCTTGATATACAATTCTTTGCTAAGCTTAGAAGAGATTATAGACACTTCTGGATCTGTCTCTTCGGAATTATCGTCTTTAAAAAATCCTCCTGCTGAAGTCCCGACGTTTTCGGTTTATGTGTTAATTTTCCGAGTTCATCTGCGAGGATCTTCTGTTCTTCGACAGTAATATCCTGATCTCTAAAAAAAACTACTCCACGGCGAGAAATAGTGATAGCAAAATCTTGTACTTTCTTTTTGTCCTTAAGGATATCACTAATTTTAGCAGTCGGGTATTCTCTACCTATCTGTGGTGTTATCTCATCAAATTCATATTCACGGTCAAGATCTCCTGAAGGTTCAAGATAAAGAGTACTCGGCTGATATGATGGACCTTCCTTATACTTTTCAGCATATGGTGAAGGCCCATTATATTCCTTATTAGTGTTCTTGAAAGTATTCTTTTGAAGAAGACTATATTTTGGGGCATCATTTATTGGAGCTTTCGTTGTTTCTATACTCGTGGGAGACATTTTAACTTAAAATATATACATATTTATTTAAGGTTATAGTCAAACAAGATACTTTCTCTCCTTAAATATGTTGTATTTTAAGAACTGTGGCATAAGATTAATAAGTATATTTGCCTATCTTTTACTGTATTGGCATAATCAATTCGGTATTTAAAAATGTAATTGCGAAACTGCCTAAATGATTAAATATGTGTCGCTCTTTTTACCTTATTATCCTTTTTTGGTTATATAAAAGAGAATTAATATGGTTGTATTGAAATGTGTGAGTACGTACTTAAAAAATTGTGGTGGATACTATGTGGCTTGTTCGTAACCACAACTTATGGTAATTACTATTCCCTGTAACTGGGTGCAGTCGAATTTTACACATGACACCATGTACAATTATAATTGTTGCACTCAGGCTCCTTCCTAATTTATCAGGGACCACAGTTATAGGGAAAATTGTGATATTGAACGATAGACTCTGTGAACCAAGAATTTTGTTGCATTGTAAAAACTAAAACACGTACAATAGAATAATACTTTGCAGTAGCCAGCACATAATTGTCCTAAACCTTAAGTTAATTACGTATTATCTAGTGTCAAACTCGCGATGTGTCGGCACTAGAATTTCATAATTTATCATTTTGTTCATAAATCTTTCCTTATATACACTATGATTGAGCATTACAGTCTCCCGAATTTTATATGAGAACACAGTTCATCATAATACCGCAACAATAAATATATATACGATCAAGAGGTACATTATATGTCTTGCATATCTGCATTAAGAGCCTATAAACTATAATAGAAACCATAGAGTATTATCTAAACTGCATAAGTTTACGATTTTCACAGTCTAAACACTCAACTTAGGTTAAGTGGATCAATAGAAAGATACTCTTCAATCGTAGTAAGCTTTCCATGTACTTGCTTTGACGTCCATTCTACAGCTTCTTCGGTCAGAGGACCGTAATACCCATAATCTCTAATGTATTTGAACATTTGAATTAATTCATCAGCAAATGTGGGTGGAAGGAACCCATGAAAAATCTTCTCTGGAACTTGTTTATAATTTACTATCTTTCCCGTAACAGCGCTCAATGTTTGCGTTACTTCTTCTACCGAGTAAAGTTTGACGGCCGCACAGAACACCTTACCTTCATATTTGTCTGGTTCCTCAAGGATGGGCGCGATAAATTCACCAGTATCGCCAACAATATCAATAAATGGAATTTTTGTTTCAGGTTTAACGATATTTGAAATTACATATGTTCCATCTCCACCAGGATGTGGTTTCATCTGGGTATGGAAATTTTGCATGAATGATCCCGGTGCATAGAAAGCGCTTCTAATTGGGAGGCTCCGAATGTATTCTTCAATCTCCGCTTTTACATCAAACTGGGTTACACATTTTAACTCACCATCTGTAATTTTAGTCACATTCGTACTAGTACTCCAAATAAGGTATTGGACGTCTGCAGCCACTGCTGCATCGGCAATGGCCTTACCTTGGTTGAACTCCCTTTCTTTTGAATTAAAATCGTAGATCGTATTTGTTTGTCCAAAAACAGTATGAGCATCCTTAAATGCATTCCTTAAAGACTCGGGTACATTGATATCTGCTTTAACAATTTCAACGCCTTTCTGTATAAGACATTGGGCCAGTGAGCTCGAAGGATCTCGTGAAACTCCTCGAAGCTTGTACTTTTTAGCTAAGACAGAGTCATTAAGAATATAAGAAATAATAGACCCGCCTTGTTGGCCTGTAGCTCCTAAGATAACTAAAAGTTTGCTCATGTTGATAGAATCGTTTATTGTAATCTTGTTTGCATGAATAAAATAATATTTGGTATTCCTTTAAATTTATAACATTTTGAATAAGGCACAAGGCTTTATAGGTCACAAATAATTATTCGGCCGAGATTCTTCATTTAGAGTAATCACATCTTTCAGTCACTTCATACCACTCTTGTTGTGCTTCTGCCGCAAAATTTGAACGATAATGAAAAGTTCGGTCGAACTTCCGTATTAGGAATATCTCACAAAGTTTTAGAGGTTGAACCTATTTATCGCGATAACTAATTCCTTTGTATTCATACTTGGAGTTTCTGGAAGAAAAAAAAATTTTAAGATCATGTTAATCCTTGTTATCTGATTCAAAAATATGTTATATCTATTGTCGACAATATTACTTAAGGAAACACATGGTTATAAACTGCAATTGGTAGAATTAATAATATAAAAAGAATGAGCAGACGAAGACCTGCATTGACCTGTAGCAGATGCAGAGAAAGAAAGGTTCTGTGTGATAGAAGGAAACCGTGTTTTGCATGCATCCGAAGCAAGAAACCTCATTTATGTACATATGATGCTAGTAATGAGCTTGAGCAGATCAAGGGAGACTCTTCATTTCATATTTTCAAACTTCCGGATGATTCCGATAGTATTTTATTGGATAATTCTCTATCTGATATAATATTGAAATTAAATGGAAAGAACTTATTTAATTCCAGACAGGAAAAAATCAACTTCTATGAAAGGTTCACACCTATTCTCAGTGATGAACCCATAGAAATCGAATACGGCCCCTTAGCCTGGCCGTTTATTGAAAGAAAGGAGCCCGCATTGCATATGATGTTGAAATATATTCGTGAATCGAAAATGACAAATGATATGGATCTGAATATACTGGGGGCTTTCCAAATACTGAAACTGAAAACTACAGCTAACGAAATATCTGAATATCATGATGAAATAGCAAACTCTCTTCACCTAAAGATTAAAACGATTTTACCGAGCAAGAAGATCGTATGGAACCTTATTTCATTATTTTTCAAGCATGTTTATTCATTTATGCCCATCTTGGATGAGATTTCATTTCGGATGGAAATGACCAGAATCATTGGGCCAGATGAATTTGGAGATGATACTATTATTCCATCTATCCAAAAAGATGATGATTTTGCTTACATTGGGATTTTGCTCATAATACTACGCACATGCTATTTACAAGATGATAAAGGTAATGGTAATTGTATTTCAGAGGGTGTACAAATAGGTACTGAATATATCAATTTAGCTAATATGTGCTTGAGGCGCTATGATATCTTAGGTAAAGTTAGTTTAACGGTTTTACAATGTGCATTTTGTTTGAGGCTTTACCAAAAAGTTGCGCCAACATTTAACAACAGTTTTAATAATAAAAATACAACAGTATATAACAGCATACTTGTCCATATGGCTTATTCGTTGGGATTGAACAAGGAGGTTCTGTTGTCTGACCAGCGTATGAAAAATTTGAGACAAAAAATATGGCATCTTTTGGTTTTATTTGATATTATAGAAGCATATTCCTTTGGTTCTCCTTTAACTACAAATAGACTTTATTTCAATACAAGGCTTATTCTTCCTGATGAGATTGATGGCAACAACTCAAATAATTTAGATTACACTTTGGAGCGGTCAGTGGTAGGTAATATGATAAACCTGCTGAATAACATGGATCCTTTAATTGATATTCTTAATATGATTTTAGATATCAAAGGACAAACTAAAATTTCAAGCTTGGTGCTATCAATAAGTAAAGTGGAAATAGGAATAGCAAAGAGTTTAGGTTTTTTAAAAGACATATTGATTCCAATATCAAAAAATATATCAGCACTGGAGATACATGATCGGATACATAAGATGAAGGCCTTAATGTCAATTAAGATCTACTTATCATCAATATACCAACACTTAGCGGTACACTTTGAGCATACAAATAATGTGAGGTTAGCATTGTTTTATAGAAAAAAAATACAATGTATTAGTATTGGTGAAATAATGCCAGTCTTATTACCACTTACAGAAGATATGAGGAATTATTTTGGATGTATTGGGGTTTTAATAATAACATCGTTTTTCTTTCAATCAATTTATAGAATGAGCTTGCTAAATATCGAGGTACTAATTCGCTTAAGATATCATTTTTACTATTTCACCGACATTTATTCCAATAAGCAAGATGACTCATGCATTTACTCTTATCTTAACAAAGCCATTGAGAAATTAGAACGATCCATGGATATTTTTATATCTTGTATATCAAGATTGTGCAAGGAATATGACTATACAGAGAAACCGAAGAATTTATTGAATGTTTATTTATGCATACTTAAGAAAAATGATTTTTACGAGGGTAATCTGAATAATAATGCGTTAAGAAAAACCAAATATACAAGCGATTACTTAAAGCAAATGTGTCACATCTATGATGCAGCGTTGGACAATATTACGAATTCTCCTTATTCTTTGGATTCTGTTGAAACGTACGATTTCGAGGATGATACTAGCCAAGAGAATATTTTCAGCTTAATTGATTCCGAAACTTTAAATTTTGACATCGTTGATTATATTAATCAATTCGGTAATAATGATAATTTTGTACATGAAGTAACTTCATTATTCAAATAAGTTCCGTTTCTAAATTGATAAATTGATAAATTACAGAACAAAGTTACTGGCTTAATAGAAATCTGGAAGTTAGCTTGGAAGATACAACAGGCATCAAAGACAACACTAATATAACAATCTCTTATCTAATATTATAACACCAGCCACATATAATTCATCGTTGCTCGGTACCTTATTTATATTCTTCCAAATTCAATTATTCTCCGCGATATAATTCCTCATAGTAAATAACGGTTATAGTGATAGGTAGAATCAAATTGTAATGAGAAATTATTCTATCAACCCTAAATAAATGAAGAGAAGTTCATACGAATATGTGGGCAAGATCTACAAATCCTATTTGAATAAAATGTTACATCAATATTAAAATTATCGAACAAGTAAAAGTTCTAAGTCATTTCGAACAATATTAGCGAATGATTCTTAGTGCATTAAAAAATAACATACTTTTCTCTGCTAATGCCACCCATATGTGAATGTAAGTCGTCTATTTGCGGTACTTTCTGTGGCTGATCTGTTGCACCCATCAAATCCGCTTTTTTTTTTCTATAATGCGATTATGATAAAATAATATATAAATAAAGAAATCATGTTTCTGTGTCAGACGAAGAATTCAAAATCAAGTTAAGTCTGAGAGTACATTAGCGCTTTAGAATGGTAAGTACAATAAATTTCACAACTAATATTGTAAATCTGTTCACACTTCAAGTATTGCTTTTACCTTGCAATACGTTTATTCCTGAGAAATTTTCAAATATTCCATACGATGTTGAGGTATCAAAGAAAGAATAGATTCAATAATGAAATCTATAATTGAGCTATACCGGTGGTTTATTGTTGAAGTGGATGAATTTTCTGCAGTTGGAGTTTTCACACTGCCTGGTTTGACTCTCAATACGCCACTGACTTCAGATCTAACTTAATGGAGCGTTTGTTGATCGAGGATCATTTTACAGGAAGAAATATTTAAAAGATATTAATTACTATTATTTATTTTCTTGGGAAAAGATTTTACGGTGCAGGGAGGAAAAGGGTAGAAGTGTATTTAAGTTATACAAGGAAAAATGTGATGATTAAAATTGTGTGTTAGCCTAGAATGTATCAATGAGAGTGTCCTAGAATGTATCAATGAGAGTGTAAAGTCGATGTATGAATACTTTGGTTTCAAGACTTATGGAATATATCAATCGGTCAAAACGAAGTCGATGAAAATGGCGAAGTGAACCACGAAGGCAAGGGATTTTCAATCTACTTTATGGTATATTACAAAGGCGCTATACATGAATATTTATTTAATTTGTTTTGTCAATTATAAAAATAAAAAATAAAACAATCTATTCGTCCCACATATCCTTATTGAATAAGATACCTGCCATATCACTAATCACTTTTTCACTATTGGATTCCATTGGAGAATTAAGTAGATTATATGTGGGATGATAGAATTCATATATTGATGGCTCCGAATCAATAATGTGTTGTTCCAGATAATTGTTGAAATTGAGGTATCATTATTAAAGCATTCTTGCATCAACTGCTATGCTTCAACTATAGCATTTTCATAATCTGGTGGTACTTGTTTCGTAACTATTTAAGGCTACTGTTGATCCATTTCCTGCTTGCATCTCTAAAAACTTATAGATAAACGAAGAGTTTAACACATTAGTACTAGAAACATTGTTTTTAACAAATTGAACCATGATTTGTCTCCAATCTCGTATCCCTAATCTTGTCTTGATGAACTTAGTGCTCATTTGCATTAATAAAGCATACATGTCCCCCAGTTGAACAATTCCACTAATATCGACAAACAAATATCTAGTACTTCTTATTTGCGTTTCCCATCTCATTTTATTTTCATCTAATTGCTTTAATTGTTCCATTACCCTGAGTTCGTAATACTAACATATTTGGTGTAAAAGAATACTATTTTTGAAACAATAATAGTATATCCTCTTGATATGAGTTTTGTCTTATTTGATATGTTATCAATCTTGTACGGATATATGCATACCATTTTCCGGCAATGAAAAATAGGTTTCTTAAGTCTCTGTATACATTAATTCCCAATATTACCCAACGATATTTCTTTCATCAGGTCATGAATTGTATCAAAGCGCAGCCACATACGCTGCAGTATTTCCAAATCTCTCCAAATCTGAAGACGAAGCGTCCACTGTTGACGGATATCAGTCATAAACCAACGCTTCCCTTGAAAAGTCTTTTGAGAAGGTTAAAATGACCGATGATACCAAGCCCGGCTCTCCGGAGTTTCGCCATCTACCCTACATGCTCAGAAAATCACACAGTATCAACATCGACATGGTCATCCACTCAGACTATGACACAGATTCGCTCAAGCTTGGTAAGGACTAGTTATATAGCATTCACTCGACTAGGCTATCAACCAAAGTTTAATTTCAATCTGCATTTACACTAAAACTTGATACACACAAATACAAAATTTAAGTTAGCAGTGCAACGAGTGATCCAGAAATTTGCAGCTGGAATGGCTATGGATTCTGTTGACGCTTACATCGTATTACCCACCAGAATGGCGATCTCAAAATTTAGAGCTTCATACTAGCTGGTAATAGTTTATGAACATGTTTAAACTGTAAAGCAGCTTACTATATATAACAGATGCTAAGGTCGCATCACCTCAGTTTCCAACTAAATCATACTCAAGCAAAGCGTTCTTGACCAAGACCTTCGCCTTGGCTTGGAACAACTTAAATGTATCAAGCGCAAAGTTGTATCGCTCCACGGCAACTGCATTGTTTTCATACGTCTTGTTGAAGGTCTCTGCATCACCATTGATGAAACTCAATCTTGGACCAGCCTCTTCCTTGGTGTAAGTCTTCTTCAACCCGGGGACAATCACTCCTTCAGGAACCGAGTTATTCAACATCTTGTGCAACGCAACTACAGGGACAGTCATCTCGTCGACACCGCTTAGGGCAAGGATCACGTCAAGACCAATAGTTGCAGCAATGCAAATGACTGTCTTGATATCGTACGCACGATAGTAAATGTGGATCTTCTTAGTTATCTGATATCCGTAATTCTCTTCCAATGGACCTCTGACGTAGGAAGCAGGGTCCATATTAACTGTCAAATCGTCAACGTAAGGCGAGATAGCAACACAGCCTGCCTCAGCCGCGAGAACCGCTTGCTCGAGAGAGTGGCAGATAGTACCAAGACACTGAACACCGGCGGCAGTAAGACGTTTTGCGGCCTGCATGGCGTTCCAGGAAATGGGGATCTTGATTATGACCTTGTTCTTGTCGATGCCTACCGCGGCGTACGCGTTTATAATGGCGGTGGCGTATCTGACAATTCCATCGGTATCGTTGGCTAAGTTTGGGTCAACCTGGGATAGAACACAGCCCTTGATACCGGAGGATTGCAAGGCGCCGTTGACGGCGATGGCCTGGATGATTACCTTCTCAACGTAATCGTCGAACGAGTCATCGGATGTGGACTTTGGAATAGATGATAATTGGCCAGATTTATTGACAATCTCCGCCGCTTTGGTGATGTTATGTGTGTGGGTGAGCCAGTTACTATACAATATAGGTTGGTTTGATGTGGCGTTGAGAAACTCGATTCCGTAGACGTCCTTGAAGTAGTTGCGGTCTTCGACACTCATGGTGTCCAATGAAATGTTGGAAACCTTGGAGACAGCCTCGAAGACGCTGTTAGGTGGTGCATTCTTAATCGACATTATACGGTAGGGTGAAGTTATGGCGGAATGTTCAGGAGAGAAGGTACCAGTGGATATCTGTGCCATTTATATACCCGTCATGAGCACCTACTTAGCCTGGCGGGTAAACCGAAACCTTGCCAGCTCCGACCAAATCTGAGAGGAGGATTCGATTGCAGTGAGACTCATGGCCGGAGCTGTTGAAGGTGTGTACGTGACAATGCCGGAAACGCTTCCATTAACAGAGATGGGGACAGTCAAGGAGCCGACCATCCCGCCGACCTGTCACCAAGACCTATGGGACATGTTCTGGTGCAATGTTGTGGCCATCCAGGGCGTATTTGTGGCTCAGATGGCTTGTTTGGTTGGCTGTCGTTTGGTGTTTTTGACTGGTTGGCATTTTCTTGGTTTTTTCTTCCTGGTTGCTGAGCGTTTCTTATCGCTGAGGTGAAATTCTCGCAGAGATGAGGTCAGCTTGCCAATTCTATAAGCTAGGCCCGATATGGACATCTTTTCTGAATTGCTCATTGATAAACTCATTACCTAAAGTATTGTACTTCAATTTGTATTCTTTGAGGTAAGCTTTCAAAGGTAGTGAAATAACAGCTAATCTGAGAATGACGAGTAGTAGAGAAACGGTAGATAATATTCAATGTTCAAATTCAAGTTTTCGGTCAGACTAATAATTATAATTCTTTGTAAGTCATAACGAAATGATTCCTCATCTAAAACGGGAACAAGTCATACGTAAAGGAAAAAGAGTGGTTGACCGAAAATGTAAAATATTATTCCTTGGGCAAAACTCCATTAATGTATTTCACTAAATTTATATACTCTTCGTAACTTGTAGTTTCAATGCTTGGCTCCAATTTTGGACATAATGTCACTTCTTGCAAACACGAATGAGGCTTTGGTTCATCCTGTGAAAAATCATAATTGTTAAAATTTCCTTTTTGCTCTAAAACCCTGCTAAACATTTCACTCATATACGAATCATCGTTTAGTAAACGTATATATGAGGTAGTTCCATGATCATATAAACTATTTGAATCGACATACAAGAGCCGAAAGCTTCTTGAAAAGTTTACTACAGGGTAATTTTGAAATGAGTCAGGAAAAACCAATCCATTAGAATTATCATTGGAACCATTAATAATTTTGCGCAAACAATTTTGCTCTTTTAATCTATGTATTTGATTAGACGGTACCAAGGCTCTTCGCAAATTCAAGACACAGTAGTTTTGTTCTTTTTACAGGATGAGCAAGTTGGTCTTGCTTTATCACACTTCATTTTCCGACGACCGCATACTGTGCATGAAGTTGGAACCCTAAATCTTGGTTTTTTACGTTTATCAAATGTAGAAGAGTTTGAATACATGCCATTTCATGTCATCTACGGTAGTACTGGAATAAGTAGTGGACTAGTATCTATTAGACATAATATGGACGCCGCACTAAGAGTAAGCGAAAATTCGTTTACAAAACTCATTTCTTCGATTCGAGCAGATTATGGCTGTTCCAGATATTTTGAGAAAGTATGCTGCATATTATGACTTTTGGACCCCTTCATTTCTGTACTGTATAGATTATTAATATTTTCCAGGCTCGTATGTTATTGTACTTGGTTGAGGGATTTGTAGTATACTACATTCTTTCCATATAAAAAAACTGTTCTAGTTCCTGTAAAAAGACAAGAGCGTTAGCGTAGTATATGGTTTATTAGAAAAGTCGTATTATGGGTTAAAAGATTTTAAATTGCAGTAAAAGGCTACAAAACTAATAGAATACAAAATGAGAGGATAATTGGTGTTGGTTTTAAAAAAATATATCTATTTGTTTAATAATTTCCAGAAAAAAAAAGATATATGTAAATATACATTCTTGAAGCCAAACAGCATATAGAAACAGGATTGTAGCAGAAAAATTGGTTGTCGTTATTTTGATTCGAAAATACCAGTTTAAATTTGATGTATAAATTGATTCCCCATTACCGAAAAAGATATAGTTAAATTATATATATTGAAACGCGTATGGCACAAGAATAACGTCCGGTAACCAAAATCTAGTCTGTGATTTAGATCAAAGCAGGACGAGAAATGAATCAAACAGAAGTTCTAAGTTTTATTCCTTTTTTACCACCAGAATTATGAAGAAAATGAACAATCCTTTATTTCACATCTCTATTGAGTAGATGCTCCAATCAATGAATGGTATAATGAGGTTTTTAAATTAAAGAGGGACCCAGTAATTGCATTAGGTAATAGAATTGCAGAACTGCAATATACTACATCGGCACTTTTGCAAGCAAAACGCAAATGCTTAGAAATTCAAAGTGCCATCAAATAAATATCTTCATCGAGTAAATGTTTTTTTGAACAGAATACTAATGAAGAAGTGGTGGTTACAACACTGCTTTGATCTTCAGACCGGGTTAACCACTATGCTAATGCTATGTCAGATTTGAAGGGAGACATTACACGGTTATCAACTGCCGTGAATATAATCACAGAATCGCATGCCCGAAATCAAATAATTGATAGCTTCTAGCTTTTTTATGGGGTTCAAATTTTTAATGGGTTAGAATACGACGAGGTTTTACCAGTCATTCTAAACATCGAGGACATTGAATATTTTACGAAATGAGAATGCGTTCAATAATAAGACTATCTCATTGAGAAAGAAATTGAAAGATACGAAGTGATTCAATATCAGACTTTCATAGTTTTCGAAATTAATTTGACGGTGTCATTGTTTACTTTTACAAATAACTTCAATAAATGCCTTGTATGTGCTTCAGTAAGTTAAATTGGTAAATTGATTTTTGGTTCAGGAATGGGGAAAATAGTATTTGCTACATAAATAGTTGGGGTTATTCGGAATTTACAAATCAGTCACCAGCTTCTAGAATATGGACTATTGGAAAATGTTCATTGTAGAAGCACCTACGCACACCGTGGATTTTCTTGAGCTGCTTTCGATAATGTTTAAGACATTCTAATTTCTGATGCTTGTAACTCAAGATGAGATTTTCAGACCTAAAAAGTTTTCAAAGTTCAATTAATAATAGCGTATTCCCGTAATTTCATAAAACTTCCTAATTGTTAACCAATAAACTTGTAATTTCAAGTATATATATTCATCAAAACCTATCTTCTTAGATTGTTTCTATCTTGATTTAATCGGCATCAATTAATTACATAAGCATATAAAAATAACCCTTCTATGAACAATTGTAAATACAGGGTCTCAACTACTTTTCTCAACGAAGCCCTTAACAATAATCAAGCTCCTATTTGCTGAAATAGTTTCTTCTATTCGTTGATTTACTCATTCACCAAATAGTAATTTTAAACAGCTTGTCGTATCCGAGGAGCCTTCTCCTAATGGTGTCATGAAATTAAACGACCTAACTCATGAAATCTTGTCACAATGTTTTTCCTATTTGGATACTAAAAGTCTTCTAAGAATCATTAAGATTGAAAATGTTTCTGATCATATATTGGATAGTGCTCTAGAGCATTTGAATCAATTATGCTTTGCGGACCACGCTTGGGACTCTGAAGATGGGGTACATTACAAGTATGATTTGGATGAGTTTCGAGAAATTCACAATGCCTTATGTCAGAGATCAAAAATGATTCCCTTATGGTTCAAGTACTATTGTTTGTCTGTATTTACTATGTATCAAGCAATCGAGCAAATCAAATCGTGTTATAAGGGACAAAAGAAGTTAGGATTAAGTTTTAATTCTCGCTATCTAGACAACCAGTGTTTTTCAATATTATCTAATGATGTGATAATAACCAATGTTACGCATCTAACTTTCAAGTGTTTCTATCATGCTGACATCAACTTGGATAAGTTTATACACTTGGTATCATTTCATGGCGAAAAAATTGATTTAACTGTAAGGTATGATCATGCTAACTTGACGAATATTAGGTTGATTAATGGTCGCATCCATTCTCTTCCGGTTGTTTTGACAGAATTAAATACTCTGCATTGTGAGTTTTTGTTTGGCAATTCACAGCCTCGTTTATGCCACTTGAAAGTATTGATATTAGATGACTTTCGGAACGGTATAGACTACAATTTTCTAAGATCATTCCTCTGGAATCAGGATTTGGAAACCTTTTCCATTAAAAATCAACAGCAGACTGAAATTGATGTATTTCGCAGCTTGGAGAGTCCGAAGTTGAAACATGTAGGATTTTCAGGAACATTCACCGATCCTTTGCCTCTCCTACTCAGATCTATTTATTGTGGTGACGGTAAATTGTGTGAGGATATGTCTGTATTTTCCAGGTTGACCACTCTTGAACTACAAAGGCCATGTATCAACCTAGGCTCGTTTATCTTGCCATCTAGTTTACTACGACTCTCTATTTCGTCTGCTGCAAATTGTGGAGTAGAAAAAATTCAACTTCCATCTAGTTTGGTGGAACTCAAATTAAATAAATGCGGTATTACTACGATCAATTATTTGCCTTCTAATCTTAGAAGTTTATCTCTCGATGAAAATGAGATAAAAGAGTTTTCATGTCTGCTTCCGAATTGTAAATACTTACGCTTGAGTGGGAATGAACTCAAGAGTATTCATATCGAGGCTCCCTTTCTCGAGCTAATAAGCTTGGACGACAATGAATTATCTTCTATACCTGACCTTCCAGGAGATCTTGAGACTTTGTTGATGTCAGTTGATAATTTAGATCTTACCGACTTGGGTCCCCTTCCTCGGAAGCTTAGAACATTTACCTTGTCTGGCACAAAAGAAACCTTGAAAAATTATACTTTTCCATCATCCATGGAAGACTTAGACCTTACAGGTTTAACTAATATGTCAGGTGTGACATTTGCCAAAGATTCCAAATTAAAAATGCTAGATTTGAGTAGCGGTGCGTTGGGCACGATTAATGACGATAAAATTAGACTCCCGAAGGGTCTAGAGCAGCTTGACTTATTTGGAAACAATTTGGAAACTGTCAAGGATTTAGATATACCTGATTCATTGAGATATTTGGATTTAGGGGGTAATAAATTAAAGTTTTTTGAAATCGGGTCTAAATTACAGACTCTTAGTCTCAAAGATAACCCTATAGGCCCAGGTTTAGTTTTGCCTATTAATCTGGATCTCCGGGTTCTTGATTTAATTAATGTAAGCCTTGAAGAATTTAGTTTTGAACTTATTAAAGCAAAGAAACTTATTCAGCTAAGTTTAGGACAAGAAGTTCGGAGTATTGATTTTTCGAGCATGCCAGAAAGCTTTCAAGTGTTAAAATACGAGGGTATCTTAGATCATCCAGAGTTTATATTACAACCACGAAAAGAAGATGGTATAAATACGTATTGGAGGTTAAAGTGACGTCAAAAAAAGAGGTTATCTATAGTAGGCATGATGTTTTTTTGTGGTTTTCCACACTAAATTAATGAAAGTGTTCGTGTGCATAATAAGAATTTTTTGGATGTCGAATTCACATAAGGTATTATATAATTACTTCACGATTACACAAGAGATAAGCAAGTGTAGTTCTAGCAAATTACTGATTAAGGGATACATCACTACTCATCACCTTAAATTCAGCCGCTATCAATGCATTGATGATACAAACAAGAGTAGACATCAAAGGCACACGTCCTATTAACAAGACGCGTCACTCTTGGATACTAATTTCTCCGAAGAAGGCTTTTGCTCGTTCTTAGTTCGAATCCTTAGCAAGTGATCGTTCATTTTCATTTTGTACTCTAAAGTATAATTCTGGGATTATTCTGGAGCATTGATTCTCGGGGTCATCATATGTGATATACTTACTCTCTTCGCCAGAGAAGTACATACGATATGTTAGTTAGATAGTTAACGGTGGTTTAGCTTTTCTTGTTTATTAATAGTTTATCATACTCATCACGTGAAGATGGAAAACTTTTTTGTCTCTTGACACTACCATAATTCGTGGGGTTGGCACAGTTTTGCAATTTTCAGTTACATATTCAACACAACTCACTAATGAAAGCTATTGAAATGAAAGATCTTTTGAGAGCGGAATCTCGACAGTGCGAAAAAAAATGGGCCATACAGAATTTCTAACTGCACATTTTAAGACTGCAACCATTCTTTGAATTTGTGAAGTATGACTTAGAGCTTGAAGTTTAGCTTTACAATGATTAGAGTATATTCCACGAAGTATTATTTTTCTTCTGAAACCTGGACATGGTGTTATAGCCATTTATTGCATGTTTAATTCGGAATATTGAACCTAAATGCATTTATACGTGTTGTAATAACTGTAGGACCGTGGTTGGCAACCATGTCAAATCATTTTTTGTGTTCCTTTTTCGCGCTATGCGGCAGAGCATTTAGCTCTCTTGATTCCAATTAGTTTTATCATGCACATTGTGAACGCCGACGACAGATGGGATTCGTTAAGAAATAACGAATCCACTTTAGTCTTATATTTTAAATGCATAGTCAATTATAACTGAGCCCTTGCCCTTTATCGAAGCAAGTAAGTTCTTTGCTTTCCCCTGAGAACCCTTATAATTAATTAACAAATTGACTCTTTCCCTAGGCAATTGTCTAGCAACAGCTGCACCTAAACCTGCACTACCACCAGTACCGCTACATTAATTCAACATGATGTTTAATGATGTACACTACTATAGTTCACTAAATGTTTTCTGTATCGAAAAGTGACTAAGGGGAAGAAGTAAAATAGCAAAATCGGAAATCTCGAATGCAGTATTGCTACTTTGCTACATCGCATTTTTGAACGAGGGGTTAATATTATATAATTGACATATATATATGTCACTAATTCCCGAAATATATGCAATAAAAGTCTCATTTTATTTAAACGAATTAGAGAAATGACTTCTAAATGCCAGTTTAGAAATACGCTTGTTGGTGCATGGAGACTTCGTAGTTATCGTGCAGAACCTTAGAATTGCAAGAATGAAAGCGATTTTATTTATCCCATTCACGAAAAATGCAAAAGGAATTATCATGTATACTCCTGATGGTTATATGTCTGCTCAATTGGGTACAATGAACGTCCCCAAATTCTCTGGTGACAATTTGTTGGATGGAAAGGATGATGAATTAATAAATGGCATGAGAAATTACTTAGCTTATTCTGGGTTTTATAAAATTGAACAAGACGGCGACCATTTCAATTTGAGACATCAAATGGATGTAGCTAACTACCCTAATTGGTTAGGAGATGAACAAAAGCGACTTGTCAAATTGACAGACAATAAGTTGACCCTTAGTACAGAAACCCCAATTATGTTCAATGGAGTGTTACTGCATTGCTATTTAGATTGGGAAAAGCTTCCTCAAATTGACTAATTGCTAGAAAATGCGACTGGCCAAAATGTGACATAAATTAGGGTCTGTAAACAAGTCTTGAGTAGTATATGGTCAATTCAAAAAATAACATTTTTTTCATTAAAGAACTCAAATATATTGTATGAGCACATGCTGTATAACTAACTGTAGTGTACATTATTTAAAAATTGTTCCTGTTTCCAATCAAATTAAATGAGACGAAAGTAATCGTATTATATAATATCTTAGTCATCATCAACGGATATATAATTGATGACATTCTGAACATCCTATAATGATATGAAAAAAAGAAAGCATCTTCGGATGTGTAATTTGCCTCCTAAACAGTTTAATTCTGTGATGTGTTATCGAAAAATCACATATTTATGGAACGATCGAATAATTGACACTTTGACAACATTTAACTATGAATTGTAATTCATATTGGTAATATCTATAATGCCTTTTAAAGAGGAAATTAAGAACCATTTCTGGTCTCGGTTTACAAATTTTTAGAAATTTTATTTAGTGCTTACATGCAGAAGACTATCTAGTAGTTTATTTTGACCAACTTAGGGCGTGCCACTTTTAATGATACTCAAATGAGAAGAAGAAAGGATTATCCACAAATTTTCCGTCGTTTGAGAGAGACATCCTATTCAGGATTTGAGTTTGAAGCAGATGCCCGTGCTGCTAAAAATTGTACCCCTGAAGAGATCAAAGAAAAGTTTGATGACTGCTGGGAAAAAGGAGGATTCCGTTTCTGGCTTGGAAACTTCAATGATGTATTTATTGACCCTGAAACTAACGAGATTGCTTACAATTACTGGAGAGAAAAGGTTTGTGAAAGAGTTAAGGATCCTAAAAAGCAAGCATTATTAGCTCCTGCAAAACAAGTAAACCCTATTTTCACAAAGAGACCAAGTCTTGAGCAACGTTTTTATGAAGTTTGCAATCAAGATAATGTTGATATCGTTAATATTATAGAAACTCCTATTACCGAAGTTACTGAAACAGGATTAAAGACAACTGATGAAGAATACGAATTTGATGTCATTATTTATGCCACTGGCTTTGATGCAGTCACGGGAGGTTTCTATCAAATCAACTTGAAAGGTGACAATGGTGTCACTCTTCAAGACACTTGGAAAGATGGAACCTATACTCATTTGGGTATGACAATTAACAGATATCCTAATTTGTTCTTCATGTATGGACCTCAAGGGCCAAGCGCATTCTGTAACGGTCCAACATGTGCATTGACTCAAAGTGAATGGATTAGAGATGCCATCGTTTATACAGATAAGCACAACCACAAACGAATCATGCCTACTTTGGAAGCACAGATGGGATGGAAGAAATATATTAATGATGGTGCCAACCAAACATTATTGCCAATTGCGGATTCCTGCTATATGGGTGTCAACCGTGAAAATAGGCCAAAGGAATGTCTTCTTTATGTTTATGGTGCTAACAACTACCTCAAGGACATTACCAAAGAAGCAGAAAACAATTACGAGAATTTTGCTTTTGCATAGTAAATTATACTTGATTATATTACATAGTTTCATTGATGATTATTCTATTTTTGAATTTGTTAAGGGATATTAAGGTGTGCAAAATTTAAAAGTTTCAATTTTGGATACCTTACTCATATAAGTAGACTTTCGGTGTAATATAAATTTACCATCCTTCATCTTTCTAATTTCTACTGTTATTGTCAAATGAAAGGCTTCATATTCTAAATTCTAATTAAGCAGAATAAATGTGTTTTAAAACCATTGTCCTCATTTTTTCCATTGATATCTAGAATAACTCTACTTTATAAAGTCGGATTATTCTAATATTATACCCTGCAGTTGGATGGAATTGCTACAAGCCCATACAAAAACTGGGATCGTGATTTTGTTTACTTTTGAAATCAAATAAAAAACATAAAATTACGTATAGAATTGTTGTATTAAACAAACAAGAAAGTGGTTTATTCACATCTAAAAGCTTTCCTCAAGCTCTAACTGGAAGTTAGGTTCAAAGTAATTGATTTCCTTGGCTGATTTGGAAGACTAATTATTTGGTTCCACTGCTCGGACATAAATTGTTGAGTTTCAACAATATTGCTGTCATATTCCTTGCTACTAGTTTTTTTGAAACTATCAAGAGCAATAATTGATTTATGTCCTCCCTGCATTTCTAGGGATCAGCTTAATTCGCTGCCTACTGAAACATTCTTTTTTAACAGAATGTAGCAAGATCTATTCCAGTCTCTTATTCCCAATATTTTCTTAATGAACTTAGTACTCATTGTCATAAAATTTGTAAAGAACAATACGCATGTAATTTTCAAATAACCTCTATAAATTTACGAGATAGAATATACTTGACATGTTTCGAAACTGTCATTTCTTAAGATCAACTACGTGAATTAATTCCGTCACTAAAACACCGAACAAGAATACTAGCCCGACCATTAAGCTAGTGGCGCCGTGAAACTCAAGTACTTCAAACTAGCAGGAAAGTAAAAAGGACCTAGAAACCCAAACACATGTCTTATTAAAATATGAAGACTCGTGCAAAGTACGTCCATAACTCTGAGCCATGGACCCATATGCTGGCGCTAATTCTGCTGCGATGAATGAACTGCTGAATGTTTGAAAGACTATTAAAATAATTTCGAAATTTTCTCTCTGTCAGTCCAATTAAGAGGATCTAATGGATCGCATGATGGAAGAGGGTCTAGGTGCAGAGTGCCAAGCCTTTTCATGAGATAATCATGATGGTCGACAGAGAGTAACTTTGAATCACCATGCGAGTCCTCGATAAAATCCACACTTATCTTCGAGATTCTTAGCAGAAGAAATCGATATTGGCTCGTTCGTCATTTTATACAATTATGAATTTAATTCTGTGAAATGAAAAAATTGATTAGAATATGTATTAGCTTAAATGCGATATAAGGAAATTAATGTGGGGTATCCATGCGGATAGTAAACCTTAATGGTATTTCGGGATTCCAGTTTCCGATATTTTGTTAATATTGAAAAATTACAAAAGTGAAGAAAGTTGGTTTGGATATTCACACGAAATAAAAACTAACTTTACTTTATACCTTGCACACTTACTCATAGTTTTGAAGATTTGACGGGATTGATCATGTGTTTATCAAGAGATATTCTCCAAACTATTAATTCCGCTTGTGCGTAGTAATATTTTTCGGTTGAGCTCACCGGAAATGTAGATTGAGGGGAAATTTCGGATAAGATGGTGGAAAAGACTCTCCAGCTATATAAGTTCAATCTTTTTATCCTTTGAGAGCTCCGTATAAAACTTAGCAATCAACATAATGGTTTCGTTAAATGATCCATCATGTTTTTCTGAGCTTTCCAACAATTTGGATAATATTCTCAACAATGCAGTGGACAATACAAATGCACAAAGTTTTGCTCCAGGAGTTGTTTTGGGAGTCACAAATGAAAAGGAAACAAAATATTTGAATTCAAAGGGAGTTGTGAGTCTTGATAGTGGGAAGAAAATATCAACTGATGCAATGTTTTGCTACTACTCATGTTCAAAGGCCATCACAACTACAGCGATTCTCCAATTGGTTGAAAAAGAATTGATTGACTTAGATGTACCGGTGAAGACATATTTACCGAAGATTGGAGATATTGGTATAATTAAAGGTTGGGAAGATGAGAAAACGCCAATTCTTGAGCCTCCAAGAGTAGATATAACTATGCGTATGTTATTAACCCATTCAGCAGGATTTTCTTATCCTTTCTTCAATGAAGATTACAAGAAGATGCTTGAGCAAAATGGACAACCAAACATTCTTAACGTTGATGAAACAACAATGGATCACACATTTTTGACATTTGAGCCTGGCACAAAATGGCATTATGGTATGAATTTGGATTGGGCAGGATTTGTGTTAGAAGCCGTCACTGGCCAGAAGTTAGGGGATTATATTACGGAGAATATTTTTAAGCCTGCCAAAATGGATTCATGTACTTTTCATATAAAGGAAAATGAAATAGTTTCGACACATATGCGTACAGCAGAAGGATTATCGATTGCTCCATTTGGTCCAGGAAGAGATCCTAAGTTAGATATGGGAGGCCATGGTATTTTTGGAACTGTAGATGATTATTTAAAGTTCATTAGAATTTGGTTGAATGGTGGAAAAACTGCAGATGGGTGTCAGATTATCAGCCCAGAAACCCATGAGATTGCTATTCAAAATAATTTAGCTAAAGATTTGCATGTCACCGATCTTGAGTCCTTTCAACAAGAAGTCACAAAATCAACTCTTTTAGATCCAAATATAAAACCAGATACTTGGTCACTTGGTTTTTCAATAAACGAGCAAGATTTACCCACTGGAAGACCAAAAGGTACTATACACTGGTCTGGTGTAGCAAATCTATATTACTTGATAGATATAAAGAATAAAGTAGGAATTTTTTGGGCCACTCAAATTTTTCCATTTCTTGATGAATCAGCAGGTGGGTTTATAAAAGCAGAAACTGCAGTCTATGATGCTCTAAATTCGTAAGAGCTAGGAAATTCGTTTCTTTTGAAAGACGTATAGTAAATTATTATACAAAATTTCTTGCAGAAAGGCAATAGTAACTATCACCACATTCTTTGGCAGAACTTTGAGTGGTAAAGTATATTATTTAGCTTTCTGAAATATCCGTTATGAAAACAGTTTTTTCTCTTAAGGCCTTTGCTCTTTCCTAAAGCTGAAACATTCTTCCACTCTCTAAGATTGTAATCGGTAAGGACGTTTCTGTTCCCACTGTTTGCTTTTTATCGGAATTTAAACCTATATCTCCTTTCCGAAAATTACGGATAGATGACGGCCACTTTTACCATCAAAGAAATTACTGAGGATTAAAAAACAAGTTATGTTTCGAGCGCTTTGAACAGGATCTGGCAGTTGTCTCAGAAATGTAATATACAGTGGAAAACGTTAGCAAATTCAATATATCCGAAATCATAAGCAAATATTTTTCTTGGGAAATTATACATTCAAAGGAATAGTAAACGTATCGAGCTGAAGAAGTAGTTTCTCCACAAATGAAATACATATAAGTATCAGAAAAGTCCATTCGATATTATTCAAGATTGTTAAACAAACGAGACAAATTTGGCTATTTATGAATACTCAATATTACGATGCATTTGGCATATAAAGAAGTTGCAAAATTACTTCGAATATGCAGATTCACAAATTCACGTGAGTTACGTTACGTATGGGATTATGATAAAGGTCGTGTAAATACCTGAAATATATAGGGAAGAATACTTATGTATTAGTATTTTAGATATACTGGTCTTATATATCAATACTGGTTACTATAGCAGTAGTTAAGTGATCGATCTACCTATCGATGACTTTTTAGGATGGTCTTAATTAAGTATATTCTGCTTAATTACTATTCGTTAATTAGAAAAAATCATCTTCTCCTTGAAGATTCATTCCTAATTTATATTCTTGTTTCGTTTCAACTCATTAAGATTATTCCCCTATCCTTTGATGACTATCAGTATCACTAGCATAACTATTTATGGTTTTTACAATGATTTGTTTCAGAATCTATAAAGATTCTGATAGTGACACAAAACCAACATTACGTAGTCAACACCTCACATTTGACCCCTCCTCGATGTACAGTAAAACAAGGCCTACACACACTTTTAAGCTCTTAGTGTGTCCAAAATTTGAACATAATAAGTTGCCACTTAAGAAGTATGCATATCATTCTTGTAGTATTTGTGGTATTGTGCGTATTAAATTATATCATAAATATAGATTAGAATCTATTACTAAATATATATATATCGGTTAATTTATGTTAAAACAAATGATAAATTATTTTATTCTTTGGAAGTGGAACTGGTTTAAGTTTAAAAGCTAATTTCTTTGCTTTTACTTATACTAGAGTAAGAGCTGCTCTCTTCTTAAATGCCCTACCAAACCAAGTTTGGTAAGAAGCCAAGAAATAATCGTCATTCTACTAAACTTCATGCTTTCCTTGTTGAAGGACGACTTCAAAAAGGACGGCTGAGGGGTCTGCGTCTTCTCACATAGGTATAATGTTGCTATGATCGTCAACGTGAGCACACAATTCTTGGTCGCAATAGAACACCAATGAGTAACCGACCAGCCTACATGGGTACATAATTGGTGTATTCTAATCAAAATAATCGATTCTTAAGGCAACGGGTAAAGCCGATTGGTAGTGTTAGGTATTTTATTCATCTGTAAACAAACATTATTCAGTTGAAATAAAATATTTGGGATAGTAGCAACACAATAAGTCAGGCATATGCCCTCCACATACGTACCACAGCTGTCATCGCTATCATCACTATCATAGCATTTGGTGATTGCCAAAAAAGAAAACAAAGCTACGAATACTGAAAGAAATTCCATTGAATTTACGTTATTTTCTATATATATATTGTATGGTTATTCAGTAAAGTACTGTCTCAAAGCAATATAGCTAATGTAATCAATCAATTGTTTGCTCCCGTATAACTTTTTTTCAGTATGAGAATATCCTATAGGCCGGTCTCTCTTGCGGGTTGTTACTTTTTGTTTTTTCAAAGTGCAAAGTGCGGGTTGTTAGTTTTTACAGAAGTTTTGAAACTCGTCTCATGTTTTAACGTAGTAACCACAGCATTGCATGCTTTATTGGTGGATGTATATTTGATACTATAAATAAAAGGAAGGAAAAACAATTACCTCTTACATTTATGATAATGTGGCAGCAGCGACAGCTTCATCGTCATAGTTAGCAGTTGTATTGACACCAATTGTAATATAACCAAGGCCATCTGAAATTTCCGAACCTAAATATTCTATGTTCATTATAGCATCATAACCATTGGAATTTTCTTCTTGATAAATGGATTCATCAGTGTTACTTGTTTTACTTTGCTGATTACTGACATATGGTTCTTATAAAGCGACTTCATCTAATAATGTTTGGTTAAAAAAGATTTGCCCAATGTGGTTCACATCACCTCCAGATATGGTATTATTCAGTAAAACTGTAGCATTTTTAGGCTGTGATATGAATATGAGTGGCACGGCTTACATACCAACCTGGAAATTTTGTTTTCATTTGCATTATTCCGTCGTCATCAGTTGGCCAAATACCTCTAAGGAAAGTAGAGCCAAGAGTGTCTTCTTCAGAAAAACCAGAGTATACACCAGTAGAGTTACAATGCCAAACATCAATATAACTTTTAGAAACTGGCTCACAAGTATTTACGTCAATAAGTTGGACATCTAATAGAAGATCAACTCCATCTTGGTCTTCAGTGATATCATCTCTAACATATTCACCTTCAACGTAATATGGCCCAATTGTTACTTCGGGACTAAGTATACATGATACATCTTCAAATAATGAGGATGCATTATCAGCTCTTTTACTGATAAGTGGTGGATATCCTGTATCTCTGGCTCTCTTCCTTTTCTTGTGACCATTAATAAAGCTGTCTCTCTTGTCTTGTCTGCGATTCATTGCATTAGGATAAGAAGTTTCTCTTCACATGTTGTAAGCGAACGCTTAGCATTGGCATATACTGTATCACGAGAGCTTATAGGAGTCGAATTTACAACCTTGTGAGCATAAATGTGGTCGAAAAGTAAGCACTTGATAGTGCAATAGATGATAAAATACTGAATGAAACCATTTTGACTTTTGTTGACTGAAAATTTTGTTAGGTTTCGAAGGGAATAAATCATCTATTTATAAGAAAATTGATGAAAATAAAATCATCATATTAACGTATATAGAAGGTAAACGGCTATGTATTCTGTCTCATTAATTCTATAAATCATTTTGCAGTATCTGATTTTCCACAATTATATTGTATTCTGATCCATATATTACATAGAAGACAATAACCAGTCATGTCCTGCACACATCCCGGGAAATAACCATTCACCGGAGGACGATAAACAATACGCACCTATCCGTGGCTTTTGTTCGGGGTTTGCTGATTATCTCTGCGCCTTGTAACTGCGGCAGGTATAATTCACAAAATGACAATTCTAAGCAATAGGCTATACATTCGCAAAGCCATCTTAATGTGCCTATTACTAAATTAATGTATTATCATGTTGCAAGAAGTAAAGCATAGCCTCATGTAATGCTTCAAATAATTTTGTATGTGCCAATACTTGATAGAAATTGTTTGGATCTGATGTCACGATGTTTCGTAGTTTACTGTATCGAAAATTTACGTATGAGGCCTTTGCCGCGGTGATTGCTCGGGATTTGATAATTAGTACCTGCGCCTCAGTCATCAACTCATCAACTCCGTTTAACTTTATTAATGAAAGGTATTGGAACCCCGCCAGGAATAGGTGATAGTGGAATCTTCAGAACGTGAAAAGACATATGGTCAATATAAAAGATTTTGGGTCATATTTTTAAATTTTTGGTAAGATATGTGAACTCCTAAACTATTACTGGTATTAGAAAAATCTAAGAGTTTGATATTCTTTCTTCATCCTAACAATAGATTTATTTTAATAAGCAAGCAAAGCTTTGTTATCCCTTAACTACAACATCCCAGTCATATCCTTCCTTCAAATTACAACTTCGATTTATATTTCTTATACTCTGTCGGGCATCTGGCTACGGACGAAGGGTATTTGGTCCATTCACCAACACCATGTACACTAGCTGGGACATGTAATTGCTTTCTGGATGCATGTCAGATTTGTCTGGACCGCGTGAAAGTATTTGGACAGGCAGTAGGTGCCCGCGCCATTGAGTATTTGCACCACTTCGGCGACACGAGATTGATGTGATTGACACTATTACTGGAACATTACACACTTATTTTTTCCATGCAGTTCCATGCTAGATTAGCTACTTGGATGAACATTTTTTTAAAAGAAAAGTAATATCAACTAGTTTGATGACGCCCAGGGCTATATGTAAACTCGCGGTTATTAGTGTACACCGCACACTATTAGTTCGAACAAATCTAACCTTAATTGTTTCACTTGTAATATCATGTAAAATTTGGATCTATAAACAAATTCAGAGGTTCCTTAGTTGGAGAATTTAAGCTTTGTTGATGTCTTTGTTCTTTTTTGTGTCTTCTGACTATATCCTGCAATTGGGTGGAACCGCAACAAGCCCATACAAAACTGGAATCGTGGTTTTGTTTACTTTTGAGGGAACCATGATGTAGTGGCTCCTCCTTAATCAAAACAAATAAACATAAACTTAGATAATATGCAATTATGTAATAAATAANCAAGAAAAAGTTTTTATGGACGTCTTTAAAAGATTTCTTTACTCTAACTGAATGCTGGACTGAAATTATCTATTTCCTTAACCGATTTTGGAAGATTAATTGTTTCTTGCTACCACTTGGACATTAATTGCTGGTCCTCAACAATACGTTGTCATATTCTCTGCTATTAGTTTTCTCATATCTATTTAGAGCTACACTTGATCCATGTCCTGCCTGCATTTCCAAAAATCCATAGATAAAGGATGAGATTAATTTGCTGCTGCTAGAGACATTCTTCTTGACAAATTGTTCCATGATCTGTCTCTGGTCTCTTATACCCAACCTTTTCTTAATGAATTTGGTACTCATTGCCATAAAAGGCGCATACATATCTTCTTGTTGTACAATATCGCTTCCAATATCAACAAATAAATATCTGGCATCTTTCTTTAGCTTCTCAATTTTTCTTTATTTTTTTTGTTTTGCTTCAATTGCTCAATCAACCTGAGCTAATAATATCGTATATAATTTACGTAAAAAAAATCAATCTTTGAAATGATCAAAGGATACCTTTTTGATAAAATCTTCGTGCTGTTGCTAATGTTATCAGTTTTATCATAAGTATAGATACATACTATCTTTCCTCCGTGAAAGAATATATACCTCTTTGTATCAATTCTAGAACCTCAATCATTCGGAACCGAAGGCCACCAGTAAAGAAACTTACTAAAATGATGATTTTGTTTAATTTGAAAAGGTTAAACAAAGAACTCTTCTTAGGTCGTCAAGGGAATCAAAGCGTTTAAACGGAAGGCATACCCTGTAAGTATGAAGAGGCATAAATCAAGAAGTTGCATAACAAAATTCCAGATTGTAATTTTTTTCAATAAAATCTNACAACCCAAAATTGTGTATTAACAATCAATAACCACTTCGATAACCACTCAAAAGACCATTGTGTACGAAAAATGGTTATTTCCATCAATTACGACTCAGAAATAACAGGAGTCAAGGAATCTAAACTTAATCAAGATTTGCTTTAANTCTTGCTCACTGAACTACATTAATCAACATCTCAAGAAACAGCATAGCGTTAAGAGAAATTTCCAACGGCACGTCTTCAGAACAACAGGGTATGCAATTCCCAACCAAAAGTGCGGCTTTTCCTATTTATACCGCGAAAAAGTCGACGCCAAGCCACCAACGTCATGACAACCATTGAAGGTTCGCAATACTCCAGAACCTTCATTAAACATGGGATATAGAAATTATATGAGGTTTATTTGTGTTATAATGATGGTTGTAGAAATATTAGTAAAAGAAATTGTCCTTAATTAATTCTGTCGCAACCTGCCGTTTTGGGTGGGAATTTTTTTTTTCCATGTCTTTTTTATGGTGATCAATGGTTTTTCCAAAAGATATTCACTGCTTGAGCCATCTCTAATGCGCCGAGATCCGGGTTCCCTGTACGCCCCAAAGCCTAGCTAGCACCCGCCTGCATTCTCAGCATTCTCCCCTCCTCTTGAAGCAGGCTTGTTTTTTTCCTTAAATTGAATTCTTTTCAGTAAAGTATCAATCAACAATCCAGTGTGTGTCCGTTCTTGATACTTTCCATACTGAAAGAGATTCTGGAAAGTTACGGAGGGGNAGTGGTACTGGAACCCCGGCATTAATACGACATGCTACGTACATTACGTAGTCAACGCCTCCAATTTGTTCCCACGATATAGGGGAAACAAGGAAAAAGTTTCCAATCCGCACGGTCGAACTTAAAAAAAGTGGCAACCCGATCCAAAAATATAGGCTTATTTGTAATATATCCTCGCTCACAAAAAAAAGTAACAACCCGGTATATCGGACTTCTAACCTGGTAACACATTTATTATTCGTCGACGTATTGAAGGTATCTTCATCAAAAATGTAGATTAAAGTACCAACTGCATTAGCCATGTTCCAAAGTTGGATACACATCCTTGTTCATTTTCGCTTTAAATCTTTCTCGCCATATGTATTGTTGCTTTCGAAATAAGCGAGCTTTAAAAAGCCAAGTACAGGTTCATGTGTATCTAGGCCTAGGGTAATAGTATAGATGACAGAATCCATACAATATGGCAATATTGACAACATAAAATAAAACAATCAATACCTGATAGTTCAATACGTATAGTTGTAGAGTGAAATGTAATAGGTTGCAAGAATTGAAAATAAGCTATAGTATTAATCATGTAGTATAGGTTTTCTTCTCAGTATTTATCAGTATACCTGCAAGATGGACACAATTATTGAAGCTCTCAATCTTTTTTTGAAAAAATTGTGATAAGGAAATTTGGTCCGATGTATATCATCCATTTAGAAGTATGTATTAAACTATTACTCGTATGCTAGATCAAAATATATCTTTCAATTGTCTCCCCGTCACATCTCGCTTCACCACGAGATTGGTAGGATTGGTCACGACTCCCTAGACTATTAGATTATTGCAGAACTTGGCAAACGTATAGAAAAACTGACTTACATAGTTGCATAAATCACCTGAGTGGCATATAGAATACCCACATTCTANNNGCTCTCATCATCGGGTTGTAAATAGGATGTTATCCTTTCAAATGGTGTCTCTCTTGTAGAATATACTTCTTGACAGCTTCAGACACCGGTATTCTCTCGTTCTTATTTTCGCTCCAAAGATACTTGGTTATTATTTTATTATGCCCAGAGATTATCTTCTTGTCTGAGATGGGTATTTGGACCGTAATTGGATGTCATATGAGGGGGGGAGTAATTTTTGACTTCTTTCGTCTTTCGGTATAGATAAGATAAGTAGCCTTNTGATTAGGAGTTATTTATCTTGTCTTACTTTGAAATTGCACTACAAATGGAGGTTATTTTATAATAGCATCTAAAGTTCTAATATTTCTCACTTAACGGGAAGGATTACAATATGTATACGTAGATTTTACAATTTTTGGTGGCCCCTATTATTTTCGCACTAGACCATTCTACATTTATTGCTGCAATGACCATTTTACAATAGCTTTCATAAACTATCCTCTCTCGGTTCCTGGAACTGCATATATTCCCCGCTGTTCTTAAATCTCTTTCATATCGGGAAAGTAGTCCAAGATAGACGCTATTTTGTAAAAGAACCATATTAAAAGAAAGGAAAGGAAAGGAAATTGAGACCTTTTCAAGAAAAGGCAATAGAAAAAGAGTAAACGTCATATGGTTGATTACTTTGGGTGACTAGCCGGGGGGGGGACTGCTGGAGCCGTGGCCAACTGCCACCAAAAAAAAAAGGTCCCCAATGAAAGTGGTAATCGTACCCAAAATGACAGGTTGCAGCCCCACCACACTAACCCTTACGAAATGACGCAAGGATAGGCAGCTTTCATTCTAACCCTTTCCTAATTCAGCCAGTACTTCTGGTCCAGAGTATCAATGATCTATAGCTTATCCAGGAAGGCTGTATGATCTATAGATATGGTCCTGAAGGACAAATTTCGGGAATTCACATGCTCCAACCTGTCAATCTGCACATACTTAAACATCCTGAAGGCTATAACCTGTGACACACGAAAAGGCATATCAAAAATTGGCTAATTCTTGTATTGAATATGTAAACAAATTATTTACTACACTACACAGAGAAATCAGCTAGTGGTTGAGCGCAAATCTAACGATTTCAAAGGCTTGTAATTATGCCCTGTTCTTTGGCCATGTCAAACAACATCGAAAAACATCAGCAGGTGGAATAATTATATGTAGTAAGTTTTTTGATGCTCTTGCTTCTTTCTTTTCAGCAATACGATCCCTAGCAATTATATACCCTCTAGATAAAAGGATTTAGTTGCAGCAGCGAAGAAATATACACCAGCAAATATTGAAATATGTAAATACAGGCTTGAGCTTTCTTGCACATTGCCTGGTATCATTGATGACCCAATAAGTTCTGAAAATGTTGCAGATAATCTAAAAATACGAACAGCATAGATATAGCGACATTTAGCTTTGCTAGTTCTACTAGTCTAGCAGGCGTGGGGGCAATAGTTGAATATATGGCACCAATAAATAGGCCTTCGAGAATTGCAAAACAATTGTATTAGCATAGTTCCCTGAATGTAACCACATGGCTAATGCAAGTATTGATGAAATATAATAAGCAATGAAAGTAACAGTAGCAGGCCCGTAATAATCTGCAAGCAAACCAGCCAATGGTCTTCCAATACAAAAACCAACTTGTACCATAGCCGTAACAATAGATCCTTGATGATGTGCATTATGTGCATTATAGCCAAATGAAGTCGTAAATTTCTGTAAAGTAAATAAGATAATAACGTACCCGAACATTCAAGTAACTAGAAATAAACTAAGAAACCAAAAGCCAGTGCATTTTAAACAATCTTTGTCTACAATAACAAATTGAATTTTATGATTCTTTGAACGAGTACGGATTAGAATAACTGCTAAAGTAGTGACACCAGAAGCAATTATAGCCTGAGCCCTTAATTCCCAGTGGTAGTCTCTAGCTTCAATTACTTTTTGCATTCCTAAGTTGAAGACTACCCCTCCGACTCCGCTTCCCATATCTGTTAAGCCATTTGCTAGAACGCTCTTCTTGACAAACCATTGAATCACCAATGTCAACGCAAGCAAACTCACTAATTCTAGGCCAAATGATTGTAATAAGCTCTGTGTTTGCTATGATTCTCGGTATAGGAGGAAAGTAATAAGCACGTGGTCCAACACCAATCCAACTCATCCAGCTCAGTCCTTTGGTATAATTCCAATTTAAAAGAAACGATCAAAACGCCCAAAACTTATCATACCTCGAACACATTCCAAGTATCCAGCTACAATCTTTGCAAATACTGACCCATATAGCCACCAAAATAGTGTATATTTTGTAACCTCTTAGATCATCCAATATATGAATCAACAACGCCGTAACATCGTTCATTTGTTTTGGTAGGTTTCCCTTACGCCATGGTAGGTGATGAGTAAGCCCAATTGGAAGTGTAGGAGATATACAGTTAACCCTTAGATTTTCAAATTGTTTTTATTGGCCGCTGCTATCACCAATGCTGAACAACCCGTGGAAAGCTAGTAAAATTACCATACTTGTGATATCACCACCTTCTGTAAATTCCATGTGTTTCTTTAATCCTTTAGCGCAAAAGATTTTTGGTTAAATGCCATGTTTTCTTTCAATATTAATTATTTATAAGTCATTAGGAATCAATGATAAACTAGAGCATCGCTGCATATATTCCAACTGGATAGAGATTACTAGGATAAACACTAAAAACTCCGATTATGATATATTCAATTACAAGACGCTTATGATGATAATTATTTAATAAAATAGTCCGAATAGAAAACGAATATATAAAGATGCCTGGCTTTTCAGTTTAAGTTAATACCCTCATTTGTATAAAACGGTAAAATACTATTCAAAGTGTTAGCTTATTATATAAGCAATGCTATTTTTAAACACAAAATTTATCCCCCACCATTTATTTTGGTTTCTTATTATCAATAATCAATAAATCATGATATTGCGCGTTATTCGTTCTCCGTTTTTTAATACCAGGACAAGGACAGACAAGGAGTTCACGTTGTCAAATTCAGTGAACTTCTAGAATGATTTATGACCGGTATAAGAAGTCTCTTTTGTGGCCTTCATGGAAGGAGATTACAACTCGATACTGACACTCCACACAGAGCTCTCTTCGCTATTCTTATTGCTACGCACCCAGTTGTTGGTAAATTATAATCGCTATCCAAATTGAATTCCAGTTTGCGGCTATTCTTCTTCTATGAAACTCTTAATCTATCCACGTTTTATTTTCTTCAGAATTGTGTATAATTTTATAAATTGAATGGATCAAAGATATCTGTTAGCACTAATCGGACATCATATTCAAGGATGGTCACAAAACACTTATATCCAATTTGAACACGTCGTATTTTCTTATATAACTTGTATTAAGGTTATGCCCAGTGTATTCCTAATTTAAATATTTGGACTTTTTATGTCCAGCGCTCGTATATGAACAGCTATCTTATTGTTGCTTGTCTGAGAAATTATTATTGATAAAGGGATTAATTCTGCTCCTTACTTTCCTTATCCTGAAACGGATATCAGATGTCTTTTCGGAAATGTATGCCAAAGATAGTCGCCTATTTCATTCATTAAAAGTGGTGACCATAAATTTGGTGGGGGTACGCGGAAGAGAAAGCCTAATTCTCCGCATCTATCAACAATTACAGCATCTATCAAGAAAAAAAGATCTCAGTAACGTGACGAGCTCAAGATTAAGTATTGAGTCCCCCCATCATTACCTAACTTTTAACAAATAAGCTATTAGCGATACTTGATAAATGGGGTTGTCATCTTTTGGGGAAACCTCAAGAAGTATGGTATTAGCTAGGAAGGTTTATATATAAACCGCTTTTCTCATCTTCGTAGATAACGTCTAAAACTCAATAGCTACTAATCAGCATGACAAGTGCTCGTGACAACAAAAGCAATAATATTGCGATACTAGTTTCTGGCGACAATTATGCAGACGTAGAACTTCAAAAAGAGCTTAAATTGGAAGATGTTACACCAAAACTAACAAAATGGTTTTTTCAATACCCACATTTGTTAAAGTTAAATATATTTTTAGGGTGTGCTTTATTCGGTATGGTTACTCAAGGATATGATGGTACCTTGATGGGTAATTTACAAACAATTCCCACTTGGAACAGTTATTTTGATGATCCTTCTGGTGAAAGATTGAGTACTTTGTCAAACGGTGTAATATTTGGGACAATTGCTATGACGCCATTCTTGGTTATAGCTGGTGATCGTATTAGAAGAAAACATATGCTTCTTATTGGCATTATTTTCTCAATTGTTGGGGCCGGATTACAGGCTGGTTCAATTAACTATGGTATGTTTCTTGCATCCCGTGTGGTGTTAGGTCTTGGTGCTGGTGCAACGCAAGTTTCGTCTGCACCATTGCTTGCGGAAACAGCCTACCCTTCTCAAAGGCCAGCTATAACAAGTATGATGCAAGCGAGTTATCCTACTGGAGCATTTTTGGCAGCGCTTTTTGTATATGCTGGTTTTGTATCAGATTTGAAGTATAATGATTGGTCCTGGCGCATGCCTTCAGTTTTGCAGGCGGCTTGTCCATTGATTCAACTAGTTTTGGTATATTTTTGTCCAGAATCACCAAGATGGCTTATAGCGCACAACAGAGAGGACGAAGCGTACGAAATCTTAACCAAGTATCATGCTGGAGGAGATAGGAATAGTGAGCTAGTCAAATTTGAAATGGCAGAAATTAAAGCCGCAATTGCCAAAGAGCAGAGTGGAAAGAAGGTTTCCTGGCTTACATGGTTTAAAACAAAAGCAAATTTTCATAGATTATTTATCACAATTGCGTTACCGACTATTATACAATTGTGCGGATCTTCACTCGTATCATACTATTTTTCAATCGTTCTTGAAAATATAGGGTATACGGAACCGGTTGAAAAGTTGAAAATCAATATTGGGTATACTGTTTTTGGTGGTGTCTTTGGAGTAGTTGCTGCATTGTATTCTGGTAATATAAAACGGAGAGTTTTGATGTTAGGAAGTCTTGGGTTAATGTTGATAACATTTATCATTTGGACTATATTGTCGGCTATAAATGAGCAAACCAATCGTGAGAATGAATCATTAGGTAGAGGTATTGTGGCAGTAATGTATTTCCATTCAGGATTTTATCATATGTTGTCTCCAATTGGTAATACATACGTAATGGAGGTTGTTCCTTATACCTTGAGAGGCAAAGCGGCAATTGTGTATTCATTAAGTATGCAGGTATGGGTTTTGTTTAACAATTACGTTAACAACCTTGGGATGGATTCCATTTCATGGAGATACTATATTGTATTTTGTGTTTGGTTATTTTTGCACATGGTCGTTATCTTCATCTTTTTCCCTGAGACGAAGGGTTTGGGATTGGAAGAAATTGCCCAGATATTTGGGGAAGATATTTCTGATGTCACAATGGTGGCTGACAACGCAATTATTGAACCTGGAGAATATGAATTAAAAAGTAAAGTAGATTATATCGAAAATATAGAGGATATTGCCTCACAGAAGTCAGGTAATAGACAACAGTAGATTATTTTAGGTCGTATATGTCAAATAAAATCAAATTCAGTAATGAGCAATATTGGAATTATCCATATAAATTAAGACTAACCTTTAATGGTAGATGTGGACAACCACTGTACTCGACCTTCAGCACCATCCGTTCGTGAAAAAGATTCTCCAGAAAGTGGACTGCGAGACGGTGGACTTCCAGGTGAAAGGCATGAAGGATGCCAGTCTTTGAAACCAGGAGCCATGGCACTTTTCAGCGACAACCTCAACCATGTCATCCTTGCCGGACTAAAAGTGGTGCGACTATTTAAAGGCTCCGCTAATAACAGCGGCGGTGGCAGAAGCAGCGAGGGCAGAAGCAGCAGCAACAACAGCAACTTCAACCGCCGTCCGTCTACTTATTTCCGCGGGGTCCAGACATATCTGACATGCGTCCAGTGCAGTAAGTATATGGCCGAGCTCGTGTATATGACATTAGTTAAATCACTGTATACTGATCCGGCCACATTGGCCCTCACCGAATTGCCAGACAGTTACGGGGACGACATAGTATTTGGCAATCCAAGTTTATACCTTGCAGAATGGGTGAGATTTCAAAAGCCCAGTACATATAGTTCACAATCGTGGAACTCCCAGCTTGGGAAAGACACCGTAGAAAACTATATCCTGCAACTCTACATAGTGAGAAAAAGAGAGGAAAAAAAAAGCGATAAATTAAGAAATTAACATCAGAGACATATCCTTCCATACTTTATAGAATGTCTGCATGATAGTATAGTTTCAATAGTCAGGAACCCGGAAATAGCGAGTTAGAAATTTTTGATCTAATGTAATTATGATCCTATATATACCCTTTTAACGACATTTTATACGCGGGAGATTGTCGAGACATTTCACATTTTTGAATAGAGATCTGACGGGAACTTACGCTAGACATCTCATTATACCGCTGTTTATTATCTATCACAAATAACATGTATGTATTTTTCAGGGGTAGATAGCAGTGACATCACTATCGATGATCCTAGCAACCAGTGCATTACAATAAATCCAGAATTATATGATAGAGTCCGCAATAACGAGGAAGAGAATACAAGAGTCTTTTTGGATACTCGCTTGCTAAAGATTCGGGGTAATGAAAATCGACAAGAACACCCTACGGAGAAACTAGTGTCCAAGAGTAATGCATCTGTGGATCTAGGGAATCTGTCTTCTATGGCGATTCTTGTGTATATTAGTCGAGCATTGATTACTGCAGAATTCAGGGTGATTAGTAGTGATGAATTCAAGGATAGGTACCTTGCCATCCCTACACCTCAACATCACGGATTTTATCCTCCCCAGGAATCCCTTAACCAGTAATTGGGACAAGCTCATCAAGGGCTTCAAAGTCTCTTTTTTTCTGCTCTTCACTACATGGGTAAAAAGCTAAGCCAAAATCTATCAAAGTGACCCTTCCCGATATTGAAACATGTATATTGTCAAGCCTAATATCATTATGCGAAATTCGCAACAGATGAATTTCCGCGAGTCTCTCCTTAACTACTTTATGCACCCTAAATTTATCCCATTCAGTAGATGGTATTTCTTCTCCCAAATCTTCAAATATATGCATCGGCTGGCTTGGAATACCATTCCAGTATCCAGAAACTATAAGCTTTGCGAAGTTTGCAGCAAACGACGAATTCGAGAGCATCTCATTAATTTCAAGCTCATTGACGTACATGTCGTAGTAACTATCTTTATCTGGAAAATTTTCTTCAGCCTGCTCAGGATAGTTGTACCATTTAACAAAAACTGTGGACGGAAGCAGAAATCCCAAATTAGGAAAGGATGCAGCAGGGTTATATATTATCCGACATAGTAAATGAATATCATTTCAGCGCGGGTTTTTTTAGAAAAACTACTTTCTGAACATGTGGCGCTAAGAATTTCGCGGGTGGTAAAAAACTACAATGTGGGCAAAAAAAAGTTCAATGTGTCCCATATGTTTAATAATGTAGCATATTCTTGGAAATAAAGCATATACGTAGAGAAAATGCTGTTTCACCATTTCATGTAGGAATTGGGTGATATATTAGGAAGCTAGGTTTTGTAGAATCGTAAGCTATCCATTTCTCAGATCATTTACAAAAATGTTGAGATATCTTCCAGATGACAGAAAAATCATAAAGTTTTCCTTTTGCATTAAAACTTTGGCAGTGAAGTACGTATTTCCTCTTCATGCTAAATACCGAATATTATAGCCATATCTGCAGTTTTCACAATGTTCTAAATGCTGCAATAACTAGTTCACTTCCGCCAGATCGCACACATGTTAAACTAGTAAATGGGGGTGCGTGCATATAACAAGGTGGTAACCGCCGATACATCCCTACACCAATACCCGCGGAGTGTGCATACAAGTGTATGCTTCGTCGAGAAAAGTTGATGTGCTGTCGCTTTACAAAGCATAGCTAACCACGTACCTAATCTAGCATGGAGCTGCATGGAATCAAAGTCATTAATGTGGAAGACGCACCAGTATTGGTTTGCCGGGGCCGAATTGTCAACCCCTTTTCAAAGGAGTTTGCAATGAGGCTTCTACCCCAACTTATTCCGATCACCGAAGAACGACGAGACGTATTGGACGAGATCATGAACCACTTTGCGCTGTATTCGAAGGAACACTACTTGAGAAAACGCATTATGCCCATTGGTAATACAGAAATCCCTGAAGTCAAGGAAACCAAACTAAATATCTGCACCCTTTGTTTCAACCACTGTTCCAAACGTCACATCAACGAGCACCTTAAAAGTGCACATCATATAAAGAACAGGTTCCTCCAACATACCTTTGCTACACTGGGGTACACGATCCCCAACCAGAAACGAACCATGTCCTATTTCTACCGCAAAAAACTGTATTCGGAGAAGCCCATTGATATGTTTGATATTGGCAATAGAGCAGCTAGAGACAATAGCGAGGACAAGTTCTTGCGGTACATCCACGCGGAGGACTATCAGGGCAAAGGATACGCGCAGTATATTGCAAGTGAAAACGAAAGAGAAAGCGAGCCAGTTGTTGCAGTGGTCGAGACCTATATGATGAAAAAAAGAGAGCACATGA